AAAACATAAATATTTATAAACAATACTAATAAAAATATTGAGTTTTAAATGTTCTAAAGCATTATATATAATATGTAAATATTTTATTTAAATATATATTATACTATATAAAGTAATTTACTTCATTTTTTTCCCGAGTTATTACGAATATTAGAACCTTATTCAATTTTATTAAAAAGCATTATATCTTCTGCACAGACGCGTTGTCACATTTTGTGTGTAGAAGCCGTTATTTTAATAAATATATGATTGTTTTATAAATTATTTTAGAAGATAATTAAATAATACATTTGTTAAATGATTAAATATAAAATTTATATATATTGAGTATGTATTACATAAGTCCAATATGAAATAAATCGTAGGACTGTCATAATAATAGAAATATGTGAGGTCGCAATAGCCAAATACTGAGTCGAATATATCCAATATTTCATTACGATTGTTAAGATTAGTATTTATCTGTTAACAATAAATAAACATTAAAATATCTGTACGCAAGAGAAAATTATTGCATATTATTAGTATATATATTAGGAAACAGATTTCTGTAGAATCATATAATTATGTGTATTGATGTACTGGAAATTTTAACGCTATCAATTCCGGTATATATAATATCGGCTCACGTAAGTCCGAATCCACAATAGGTATTTTAAGCCTTAAGCCGTAAAAAATTGATCGATTACAATCGAATGCGAGGAGAATATTTGATTGTGATTCGTCTATTTCTTATGGCTTAAGGCTTAAAAATCTGTTGTAAATCAAAGGAGAACGGTAAAGTCTCATGTCATGTCTTAGCGCCGAGACATTACCGTTTATCTTTTTTTAATATTCGGTGATCAACATGGATAAAATAATATATTATGCACACCATGCATGAAACGGAACGCATCTCGTGTCTCCAGATATATGAAACATCGCTGTTGTAAATATTAATCTTCTTGATTATCAAATTCCTTTGATTTTTCATACAACGCGTGATTTACAACAAGATAGACAATAATATATTTCAAATTTTAGAGTGTTTTTTCTGTCATTTTGTATCGTTCTTCCAACTCTTGAATTGAAGAGTTTATTAAGATATGTGTTTGAATACACCCTTTTACACCATTTATCAAACCAGATTCTTTTATTACAAATGATGCATATTTCCACTGCATCTAAATACACGACTAATGTGTATGGTATTGAATTTACATTGTACACTATGCTATAAAAGATATCACAGTTATTATTATTTTGTGTCTTATGAGATATCTAATATTTCTATATTATAGCCTGTATTCAGAACGCGCTTATAACGTAGTTAATGAGCTAATATAATATATTTTACGTTATGCATATAATAGAATTTTAGAAATAAAAGTACGTTTTTATTGATAAAAATGCATTCTGAATATGAGCCTATAGATTTTATTCTTCTTCAATTATTTTAATGATAAGATCTTTAATCAATTTAGAGAATAAATTTTTTTTAAGACAAAAAATTGAAAGAAATTGTTATAGTTATAAACAATTTTTTAGATCGCATGCTTTTGTAATTATAATTTTAAATTAGAAATTTATTAAAATATAAAATTAGCTGACGACCCTAGTTTTATGATCTTTGAATCATTAAAACTTTATTCGCGCATATTTTTTTTAATTCGTTTAAAAAATTCGCGGCCATTAAACGAAATAGTTTTAAGAAAAAATATTTCGAAATCGAAGAAAATTAATAAAAATAGCGCACAAATGAAAATGATAAATAAAAGTAATAGCAACAAATCTATGATTTAGCAATGTATTCGCTGACAATTCAATGAGACTTGGTATCACATTATGTTCACCTACAGTGTAATGAAGTTTGGTGAATAAAAATGGATTCGTTGAAATATCTAAGGTACGTAAGCATTGATTTACAAAAAACAAAGTTGGTGGTAAATACAACAACCAGTTACATGAGACGTCCAAAATTTCAAGATTTTTAAGATTTTTAATGCGTTTTGGTAAACGTTGCAACATGTTATGAGAAATCTTTAACTCTCGTAAAATATGTAACTTGTCGATATATATTGGTAATTCTTTTAACTGTAAATGATAAATGACTAATGATGGTATTGGTTGATTAAATATTTTTTTATGCTTAATCTTTTATGCTGGAATCTTCTTTTTTCAGTGAATATCGTGGTATTTTTTAATTATAAAGTGACTTACTAAATTATAACTTATATCTAGGAATATCAAACTCTTTTGAATGGCAAATTGTTCTATCCATAGCCATTTATATTGACCTCGAATTCCAAGACAATTGTGTGATAGATCAAGCCATTGAACACAGGGCAGAGTACCAAAATTCTTTGGTAAATTGATTTTATTGTTTGATAAATTTACATGTGTTAAATTTTGAAAGTTTGTTGTTAATTTTCCAAGAAAATAAGTCATAATTTTTCAAATAACGAAGATTTCGCCGATAATATAAAATCTTTCAAAATGGCTTAGATGCCTTTTCTTGATCAATTTGTCTTGTGAAATCAGCTTAAGAAAATCTATTTTAATTTAAATTTGAAAAAGATGATATGTATATGTGAAAAATATTGTAATATGACTAATATATTTAAATGTATAATATGATTTAGCTCGTAAAGATTTTCGAGTAAATAATTTTTAATTTTTTATTATCATGCATTATAATGTTCTTATTTTTGATAGGATTATATCAATCTTATTGCGAATATCATATTAATAAATATTTTGCAGATTTTGGAATTGTTAATGATTTTAAAATGTAAAAGATATTTGTTCAATTTATTTAAAAAAAAAAAGAAAACTAATAATTTAACTCTGTAAAGACTGTAAAAATTATATTAAATTATATATAATCAATTCATTTAAATTTAAAAAATTTGATTTGAAAATTATATATAAATAAAAACAAAAATTTATTGAAAATATAGTATCTTTTAAAAAGAAAGCCTTACTATTTTTTTAAAAGATTTTCGGTCGATTGATATATGCTCTTCTATCTATCAAGGAGGTTGTCAAAATTATGATCTATTGTATTATCAATCTCGACATTATTGTCAAATCGTCTTACTGTTGTTCAGTCTTTAACTATTACACTAATACTATTTAACAATATATTTACATAATTTTGTCATCAAACCTAGCTGAGACAAAAAAGAATAACATTTAAAGAACGGAAAAATATACACAAAGTGCGCAGTATGTCATCTTTGCATACATTTTTCGACAAAAATTGCTTTGAAATTACTAATAACAAATTGTTATTAGTAAAATTGTTAAGTGATTATATAATTAACGCCAATAATCGATAGCGTCAGTTGACTGATAATAGCAGAACCAATCAGCAATCGCTTCAGCAGTATCCAGACTCTGTTATAAGGACTCTAAGGTGTACCATTCCCGAAATGCATAGTAGGAGAGTTAATTTGAGGCCAAAATTTGTTTGATTGTTTTCAGTATTACTATCGTCATTGTGCACAATGATACATCTTATATTGGCTGCGTTCAGCAGAACACAGTTTTGCAATCATTTTATGATTCTCTGCTGAGATTGGACCATTTCTCTTGATCTAAAAGCATAACCCAATCAGTGCGAACAAAACTTCCAACAGTTGCCAAATAAACGTTCTACTAAACGCAGCCATTCTTATATCATGCATCACACGTGGTACGTGATGCATTTCTGTGCATTTGTCCACATTTGGTATTTGGTTTACAGATTATGTGTATTTAATTTTGTTAATGTATAGTTATATGAAAACTAAACTTAAATTGAAAACAATAATTTAGTTAAGTTACATTTTAAATATGGGGGTAAGTTAGAAATTTTTCAATATCTGAATAGTTTAATGGGCAATTCGTATTTAACCTAAAAAGGAAGGGTGTATCAATAAGGCTGTTTTTTGGACCACGTCAGAATCACTTCAAACTGTGCTATTTTATTCCTCTCGATGGAACTCACAATCCACTAGAACCGTTTGTTGTCCAAACAATTAGATGCTGAGAATGAGGCACTCTTACATTGCAGATTTACATGTGATATCACGCATAGCCACAGTGTCTGCTTCATTTCACTGCTTCATTTCTGTAATCAATGGAATTCTGGAATCACCATTACCATACTTTCTCAAAAACTACTCGTATATATAGTGCATAAAATAAAACGTCAAAGCGTTATTTTATCCCTTTGCCATCACATTGAAATCGATCACTTTGTATTAATCAATACTTTTTATTTTGACCAAGCATGTAAGCAATAATGTTGCTTATAAAAAATTGAACAATGAAACTGTAGTTTAAAGTTGATTTAGAGAATTCAGGATATTTAGAAAATGTGATACATTGTAGCTATTGATACATTGTAGGTTCTAGTGAGTTCCATCGAGAGGTATAAAATAGTACAATTTGAAGTGATTCTGATATGGTCCTTAAAAAAAACGACCTTATTTGACAACCTTCCTTTTATTTTATTTTCATGAATACGAAGATTTAAATTTTTTCAAGTATATGATATATTTTTAGTATATTTTTTATTTAAGAATGTTATATAATTATTTATTTGTTATTGTGTGTGTGTATATATAAATATTACAAATACGAAATTAAGATTAAAATTTTTTTAAGTATGTGATATATTTTTAGTGTATTTTTTATTCAAGAATATTACATAATTATTTATTACTATATATATATATATATACACACACACAGTTATTTAGTTTGTTTAATTTTTTTTAATTGAAAAATATTTTTTAAATTTATATATATATATATATATATATGTATGTATGTATGTATGTATGTATGTATGTATGTATGTATGTATGTATGTATGTATGTATGTATGTATGTATGTATGTATGTATGTATGTATGTATGTATGTATGTATGTATGTATGTATGTATGTATGTATGTATGTATGTATGTATGTATGTATGTATGTATGTATGTATGTATGTATGTATGTATGTATGTATGTATGTATGTATGTATGTATGTATGTATGTATGTATGTATGTATGTATGTATATATGCTTTTAGAACAGACAAAGATTTAAGCGTGAGAAAAAGAAAAAAGATTGAAAATGATCAGCCGTTAGAACAACTATACGAGAATAACATCTCAAAAATTGTGGAAGAGACAGGAGGAAAGTCAATTCGCATGTTGCTCCCTATAAAAACACATGATGGTGTTATAGAGAAACGTATTATTGAAGAAAATAATACCATTTTTAATGGGGAAGAAAATGAAGATACGAATGAAAACCAGGAAGAAAATAAAGAAGATAATCAGCAAGAAAATAATGATACGGATATTGACATAGATACACATGTAAGACTTCAATTATATATTCTAATATTTCAGAAATCTAACATAGAATATATTATTTATTGGAATGTTTTTCAGAACTTGCTGCAAGTTACTGATAAACCAGTGTCTATTGTTGAACTGCTCGCATGTCGCGAAGAAATATTGAAAGCCAAACGTTTTAAAATAGGTATACTTTCGAGTGGTATATTGGAGAATCCAGAACTCAAGTCTGAAAATTTCAATGTATTGTTAAAAATGATGGATAAACAGACATCAGAAATTTATATCACAATTAGGAAACTGGCAATGGTGTCTCTTTTAGAAGTTTTTAAAGATTTGTTACCATCATATAGTATCCAGGAAATTTCTCAGGAAGGAGTAAAGTGTATGTATTCATATATATGTGTGTATATAAAACATACAAACAAAGAAAAATTACACGATATGCACTTTAATAATAAATTCTAATCAATTTTATATGTGGCTTTAGTGAAAAAGGATACTCTTGCTCTGCAAAAATATGAAGCTACTCTATTGAAGAATTACAAAAGTTATTTGCAGAGACTTGAAAAGATATCTAAGATTTTGAGAACAAAGAATGGGAACATGCAGTCGGTAAATGAACAAGAAATGCAATTGGGCGAGACAGCTGTATCATGTATGTGCGAGCTTCTCGCCGTCCATCCATATTTTAATTTTTCTGTTAATATAGCTAATTACGTTCTGCCTTTGTTGGATAACAAACGGAGCAACATAAGAGAAAAAGTTGCACAATGTATTTCCCAAATATTTAAAGAAGACAAACGTGGTCAGCTATCTTTCACAGTAAGTTATAATAGGAATTTTATTATTATTTTATGTTTTTTGATATATTTGTAATTACAAAATTATGACATTTTTTGCACTAATAAAATTTCAGATAGTTCGAAAATTAAATCAGTATATCAAGTCGAGGAAACATTCTGTACATTCTGAAGTAATATCAGTGTTACTAGCTCTTCGCATCAAAGATATTAATTTGGATAAGGAAAAGGAGGATGAAATGAAACAAAAGAAACTCATGTCTCATAAACAAAGAATTCTCGCATTAAGCAAACGAGAGAGGAAAAAGAACAAGAAACTAGAGCAAGTAGAAAAAGAAATGCTCGAGACGAAGGGTGAGGAAAACAAACAGGCAAAGCATAAAATCCTCACTGAAATAACGAGCATAGTATTTACTATATATTTTAGAATTCTAAAACAAGCTCCCAATAGCAAAGTATTATCTGTGTGTCTAGAAGGATTGGCCAAGTAATTTATATATTACTATTTTATATCTTTTGTTAATATTTTACTATAATGTCTTATGCATTCTAGATTTGCACACTGTATCAATATCAATTTTTATCAAGATTTAGTAGGCGCCATAGATAGATTAATAGAGGAAGGTAATTTGGGATTAAGAGAGCAACTGCACTGTGTTCAATGTATATTTACAATATTATCTGGACAAGCTGCAGCATTGAATATTGATCCATATAGGTCTGTACATAATTTTTCTCTTTCCCCTTAGTACTTATATATTTTATAGAATAAATTACATACTGTTATGGGTACGTATTTTATATACATAACATTATATAACATTTTTTATCGATTTTTTATAGATTTTATGTGCATTTGTACAAAAATATATTGAAAGTTCATTGCGGGAGAACGCACTCGGAAACTGAGACTGTGCTGCAGACGTTGATGCAGATTCTCGTTCATCAGCGAAGGAGGATCACACAAACCCGTATGATAGCCTTTGTAAAAAGAATAAGCACATTGGCATTACAGTCGCAGCATAATGTGACGCTGGGAACTCTTGGTATTATCAAGCAAGTGATGCAGCTTGGGAAAACGGCTCACATTTTATTGGACACTGACTGTACCGGTGACGGTCATTATCAAGTCGAAATTAAGGAACCTGATTATTGCAATGCTCACTGTACAGCGTTGTACGAGCTCGTTGCTTTACAGGTACTACCTTAAATATACTTTTTTGTTTGAAGATAATAGAACAACAAATAACATAATTGTCCTTACAGCGTCATTATCATAGTGTAGTACGACAACTCGCTAAAAATATAGCGTATACTACACCTACAAGCGGTGAAGGCAGTTTGACTGCCGAAATTGCGAAGTTGTAAGTACCGATTTTCTCTAATAATTATGATAAATTTATCTATCATGTATCTATCATGTATATCATTATTAAATATGAGGTCTATTCTTTTTAGCTAAACTTCTTGCTCATTTTTTCTTTTTTTTTTCACATTGGAAAAAAAGAAAAGATGAATTATATAGAAAAGTTTGTCTAAAAAGACTAGACTTATAAATAGTTGCGTTGAATCTTTCTATACCATCCATTTTATTAATTTTAGATCACCACAGGAGCTCTACATGGAATATGATCCTGCAGGTGTAGCATTTAAGCCTGCTGTACCTATTCCAAAGAAGAGTACTGTTAAAAAAGTACAGATGAATTATAATATGAATCCTGAATTTGATAAATATGTTAATATTATCGACGTCGACAACTTATTTGCGGACGGACATGTAGACTTCTACAAAGCATGTAAAAATAATTTGTAGTGCATAATAAAGAGGATATGTCTGTGGAATATATATGAAAAGTATCAATATTTTGATTAAATAAACAATAAACTTCATAATAATATTTAAAATGATTCTTTTATTTGGAAATTTCAGATCAATTCAACCGACAGAGTCGCTCAAAGCAAAATTTCTAAACTAATAATCGTCTCTAATTTTTCACGCGTCAAAAATGATCAAAAATTAATAATTCACATAATAAAATAAAGATATTATTTAATGAGTTGGAATCGTAAAGAGTCGTATATCCTAAAGCTGGATTTAAATCAAGTGCACGAGTGTAAACGAACATGTTCGTTTGCGCTCATCGCACTCGTCACATGACACAGCTGATAACGACGACAATTGCCGAACGTAGTCGTTTGTTCTCACTCGACTGGGACAGACGTGTTTTGGCTCGGATGTAATCTTTTTGGATATTTTTGCAAAGTGGTATCAATTTCGATCGAGTCTTGTATTTTCAATTACTGAAGGGCTAATATAGAAGAAAAAAAAGAAGAAATCAAACGTCTCTGATTCCGTCTACAACTGTACGTCTAACTTTCGAGTCACGGCTATGTGTTTTGACACATTTTCACGTTGTCCAGCAGCCAGAAGCACGTAATATTTCACGCAAGATGATGTCAGAGAGGGATTACGCACCCCTGAGTGCGGCATGCGTGCGCTCTCTCAATGACAAGTTGTACGAGAAACGGAAGCCAGCTGCTGTGGAGATAGAGAAGTAAGGTTATTTATACTGTGTACACACACTTGCATCGATGAACGCTTTAGCTCTTTTTCTGTTTTTCCCGAGATTCCTCTTGACTTCCTCTGAGTTGCTTCCTCTGAGTCTTGTAATTCGACAATCCTTAAAGGATTTTATTTTTATCTTTATTATTATTAGAGTTTATTACACAAGAAGCTACTTTGATTTCTCACTTCTCTCTCTCTTTCCATTTAATGATTAATGTATTTTTTTATTAATCTTTACAGGATGGTGAAGGAATTTGCTGCTCATAACAACACCGTGCAGATCAAGAGGCTGCTGAAAGTTCTTGGGCAAGACTTTGCCACTTCACAGAATCCACATACACGTAAAGGTGGTTTAATAGGTCTTGCAGCGATCGCAGTCGGACTTGGAAAGGATACTGGTCAATATATAGAAGACCTGATCCATCCAATTCTAGCATGTTTCAATGATTATGATTTGAGAGTTAGATATTATGCTTGCGAGAGTCTGTATAATGTAGTCAAAGTGGCAAGGGGAGCAGTACTGCCTCAATTTACAGACATTTTCGCCGCTCTTAGCAAACTGGCCTGCGACACTGAGCAGAACATAAAAAACGCCACCGAATTACTCGACAGATTGATGAAGGTAGCTGAAGAATTCTTTAAAGAAATTCTTAACTTTATTATTCACATAAGGTATTCAAAATCTTAGCGCGAGACACTACTGTCTCCTAATACCCTAATTGTATAAAGATTCACTAAATGGTTCACAGAAGCTATTTATATTTATATACATTTTATTCAGCGCGAATTGTTCTACTTCAACATTGTTGTTTTATAAAATTTTTACATTTATCTTTATCTGAAGAATGTATAGAATTTCATCACATTTTATATCCTATTTCAGGACATTGTAACGGAAAGCGGCCTCTTCGGTTTAGTCGAATTTATACCTCTATTGCGCGAGCGTATTTATACAAAGAATCCATTTGGTAGACTGTTTGTAATATCATGGATATCCGTGCTGGATGCGGTACCCAACATGGACCTAATAATATTTCTACCTGAGATACTCGATGGGTTGTTTAAGATATTGGAGGATCCGACATTAGAGATAAAAAAAGTCACGGATACGGTCCTCGGTGAATTTTTACGTAGCATAAAATCCAATCCCGCTAGAGTGGATTTCCCGGCCATGATAAACATACTGATAACGCACGCTCAGAGTAGCGACGATCTGCTTCAACTGACCGCTATAACGTGGATCAAAGAGTTTGTACACCTATCTGGGCCTCTCATGCTTCCGTACATGTCCGGAATTCTTGTGGCCGTTTTACCATGCTTGGCGTATGATGGTGACACACGTAAAAATATCAAAGAAACTGCAACGCAAGTAAACACGAATTTAATGAAATTAATAATCGTCCAAAGTATAGAGGTCATAAATAAGGATCAAGAAAATAAGGCACATTCTATGAGAGAAAAGAACGGTAATTCAGGAATGTTTCAAACTTATTGCAAAGATCATTTGATCAAATATTATTTAAAATTCTAATCATTTCTGAAATTGAATTGTTTTAAAATTTGTGAGAGAAATCTTCATATCATTTAGAAAATATATAATAAAATTTCTGTCCCTTTCTCTTTCAGATACAATAGAAAATTATTCTCTGGATGAAAACTTGGATCTCGCCAGTGTAGTGGAAGTACTTACAAAGCACTTGTTATGCTTATCGGTCCAAACTAAAGTCGCAGTTCTAAAATGGATACATCACTTGTTTATAAATATTCCTCAAAAAATGTTTAATCATATTGAGGATTTGTTTCCAATATTAATGAAATCCTTAAGTGACAGTTCCGATGAGGTGGTGCAACAGACTTTAGTGGTAATGGCTGAGATCATCAGTTCGAAATCTCCGGAGGCAATAGCAACCAATCCTAATGAAAAGATACAGAACAAGTATTTCACAAAGTTTATAGTTAATTTATTAAGGATCTTTTCGACCGATAGACATTTGTTAGAAGAACGAGGCGCTTTCATTATAAGAGAGCTGTGTGTGCTTTTGAGCGCGGAGGATATATACAAGACCCTAGCGAAGATACTGCTGGAAGAGCAAAATTTAGGTTTTGCTTGTACTATGATACAAACTCTGAATGTTATCCTATTAACTAGTTCTGAGTTATTTGATTTGCGCAACAAACTTAGGCATTTGGACTCTCCAGTAAGTCTGTGTGTATTCAGCTTTCTCATGAAATTTTACAGAGCATTGCATGCTAAAATCAAAAGACGTCTTAAAAATATCTTAAAGATATTTTAAGATGTTATATTCCTGATTTTGAATATGCGTGCTGTCCAAGCATTTTTTTTATTTTGGTCAAAGTTATCTCGATTAGGGTAACCCAAAGTTACTTCATTTTATGATACATAAATAAAATATATCCATGAATTGAAATTTTTTTCAGGACAGTTGCGCGTTATTTGAGTGCCTGTACGTGTCTTGGTGTCACAATCCAGTTGCAACTGTGGCCCTATGTCTCCTGTCTCAACATTATCGACATGCGTGCAACATAATTCAATCCTTGTATCCTTTTTTCTATTCTTTTTCAGATTATCCGCTTCCTTTATCTCAACGAACATTTTTAATACCTTAACATTTATATCAGCGAAAACATAGAGGTCACAGTAGAGTTCCTAACGGAGATAGATAAGTTGGTACAGTTAATAGAATCACCGATATTTACTTGTGAGTATACGATATCATGTTGCTAATGAAAACATTGAAAGTGAATTGTTTCTTTTCTTTTTTTTTTTGTTTAAGATCTGAGACTGCAGCTATTGGAATGGGAGAAGAATGATGCTTTGATATATGCATTATATGGCTTGCTCATGATCCTGCCACAGAGTGATGCCTATGCTACTTTGCAACGTCGATTAGCAGCGATACCTCCAGCTACGAAGCCGATACCTAAAAACGAACAGAAGGAAATAGACGTTGATTGCCCGTTCGATTTCAATAAGCTGTTGAAACATTTCCATGTAGTACAGGAACACCACAGAGAACAGAAGCGCAAACAAAGACTGAATTCTTTAGTCGAGAGGAATAGTAGTCATGTAGATGTATGAATCACACGTTCATTTTTTCATGTGCAAAATTTATACGCACCGATTTTTATAATATATATAAAAGAAAAGAGACATTCCTGATTTGCTAAACTTTTTTGCTGCATAATTATATGTAAAACTTGTGTTTAGCTTTATTGTATAAAAATATAATTATTTATTGAAACAAAATCGTTGGACCCGTTAGAGACAAATAGTCAAATCGTTGATATATTAAATAAAATAATATATAGTCGTTTAGCCAAAGAGAATACGAATACGAATTCATTTAACGTTTATCTTAATATATACACTAATAATTACATAGATATATCGAGTTTATATATACATTTACGAATAATATATATACATTTTAAGTTTCAGTCTTTATCTCATAGATATTGATCGTGTGTTCCAATATATCAGTACTGAAGATTTATAGTCTACATAACGTGAATTCTATTCTCTAAAACTTTCAGAATGAATCTCGTTCTTAAAGATTGAAAATTGAGTCATTCTTTTTTAAAATTAACTTAATTTTCATTCTTTAGAATGATATTTATTTCAAAGAATTTAGAGAGATTTTCAATACCTTTTTTTTATAATATATGTCGGAACACAGTCATTGTCCGATTATAAGAAACGTTAATAAGAAAACAACAGTGACGCGTACTAAAGTTCATATCCCGTATCGCCTATGTCATCCAGCCTATCAATCGCTGATAAATGATCAAGCTGGTCTACAAGCAGACCGTTTTCATAAAGAAGCATCGTGATTTGTTCTTGCGTGTCACAGATGTTGCGCCATTTCTTCGTGCTCTCCTGCACTGGCACACTCGTTTTTTCGATTGTTTTAGATTTGCTGGGAAGCCTGTCTAACGAATGCAATAAATTCTCATTGCGCTCTTTGCTCTCCTGCGATAAACGATAGGAAAATGATTCCAGCACGCGTTCATAACTGTCTATGTCCTTGTCCAATATCTGAGTCTGCAGGAACACCGTTTGTGCCATTTTATACCAATCGGCGACGCATTCGGATCGTTGTGTCATTGCTGGTATACACTCTGTTTCGAGAAGCGCTTTCAATCGACGTCCCGTTTCTGTGACCTGTTCAATGAAGGTTGCGACATTTCAATGAATTAAATGAAAAATATTAGGTGTTGGAATTAATTCGTAGCGTTTTACAAGTGATGGGAAGTACTTTCATTAATGTATTTTTTAATGCTCATGTGAAATAAATAACATTCTTTCATTATAAAACGCTACGAATTAATTCCAACACCTAATAATTTCTGCTAGTTTTCCGATTTCTATCTTAATTTATAACAGACTGAGAAACTCGATACGTAAATTTACATACTTTTATACGTTCAAGAACGTGGAATTGTTCGTCGTTGTAAGTGAGACTACGAGTGGCTCTGTCCCTCAACAAATGTTGCCATCCATCTCTCAAGCGATCGACTAAGGTTGCTGCTCTCTGGCTGGCTTTCGTGATCCACGGACACCACAAACCGCGAGTACTGTTGTCCCATTCTCCATGTAAATTGCCTTCTTTTACATACCTGCAATAATAATATAATAAATTTGTTTTTTATTGCTGCACTACAACTTTCCTTCTCATTTTCGCCAAATTTCAAATATATACCTGTTTAAGTTTTAACACAAAGAGTGTTTTTAAAATATAATAATCGGTAGCTTAATGGTATAAATGTAATTAAATATAAGTCAACATTAGTTCAGCTGTAAAAGACAAGTCTTATATATTAGATTTTTTTTTAAGCTGCCGATTATACTTTGCAAGATTATAAAGAATTGAATGCTCATAAACAGGGGAAGGAATCAATCTTTGTCGATGAAACGTATTTTTCAAATATAGCAGTTATAGCTTTGCATCTTTAAGACGATTTACCTCTGATGGAGTTGCACTATTGCTGGAGTTAGTTCGCTCATAAGTTCTTTACTCTTCACATCCAATTCCTTCCGCCAGTTTTTGACCTCCACCGCAGTTTGACCGCCGAACTTTCGGAATACATGTCTGGCGAAAGTCTCACTCCTTTCTACCGCCAATACGGTATCCTCCACTGCTTTCGTGAATTCCTTCGAATGCTGACATTTCTCCAACACTCGAGTAAGCTCTGTAGATAGAAGACCGCTAAACGCGTCTATGGCGTCCCGCGATAATTTGCTGCACAAGGCCAGTTTATCGATTCTACGTTTACAAACATGTCCTACGGAGCACGCAATTTTAGCTTGGCTCGCGTCGTTCTCTACGGAAACCAGATTCGCAAAGACTGGAAATTTAGGCAATTCGGTCTCTGTCGGTAACACGACGTTGTTGTTCTCTCGTGAAAACAACATCAACGGTTTGTCGTTACTAGTGTTGGGATATCCCTTGCCTGGTGTAGACTCTTCGATGAGATTCGTAAGAGGAATTTCTCCAAGCAGAAGAATCTGCGCATGAGGCATGATCTCTGTCTGATCCTGAATGTGTATCTGCAGAGCGACTAGTTTCTCTTCCGGATGTAGAAAGACTTTAATCAAACTGGCTTTATGAATATTAAATATATGAATGGGTTTCCTGCAAAGCGTGTCCGTGACCTCACTAAAGAATCGCTCGAAGCTCCAGATTCTTTGCGGATCAACCTCCAGCAAGCCGGCCAACAATGGAGTCACTATCTTTTTGAGGCCTGTGCTTAGCTGGCAGGCCTGCGGCAATTCCCTGCTCCATTCGATCGGTCCGTTCTCCGAAGTCTGTAGCCCGGATATCACGCCTGATGCCTTCTTTGTGGTGATGTAGAACATGGTCTCTTTATTCCTTCGCCCACCGAACGGCCTAAACGGTAAATTACCCGTCGCGACATGATAGAGAGTCACACCTATGGACCATAAATCAACCGTTGCCCCAAAGGTCTTGCCAACAGGTTTCCTCAGGACTGCACGTTCGTACATATCTGGATGTAGATACTCCTCGGTGCCGTACAGCGAAACAAACTGCTGATCCTCCTGCAATTCTCGAGCGGCCCCGAAATCAGTAAGCTTGTATATCGTACTGCCGTCGTCAGCGATGAATTTCATTATATTACCTGTGCGAAAAAAAAAGAAACAGAAGATGATTGAAAAACTTCAAATACAAAACACATTCATAAAGTACTGAAAATATAAATAAATCAAGCCGCCTTAATTCTGAATAAAATCAAATGGAAAATTGTTTTGTAATAAAAAAAAGAAGCACAACTAATGTAAAATAATAATGGCTGCATTCAGCAGAATGTTTATTTTGCAATTATTGATAGTTTTATCCACACTCATTAGATTATATTTTTGGAACAAGAATACATAATAGCCAAAGGATGCTTTCCATTTGATGACACAAGCATCATTTTATCTTTCTCGATATTCAGTGAGTAACAAAGATAGAATGACACTTGTTGTTAACTGTATCTCCTAAAATGAAAAGATCCTTTTTGATATTCATAAATGAATAACCATAAATTGTCAATTATATCTCCTAAAAGGAAAGTAGCCTTTGACTTCCAGGATAATATATTTGCCTGGATTTTCTACCTGGCTTCAAGTCCCGGTGAACCAAATTGTTGTCGCGCAGGTGCTTCATGCCAGCCGATAGGTGTTCCAACACCAGTAGGAATTCGCTCTCTGCGAGACCATACGTATTCTCTGGATCGTCCAGGATGTTGAAGAGGCTGCCGCCAGTACAGAGTTCCATGACGATGACCTTCCCTCTGCCATCTTGCTCCTCCTCGATCGCCAGCAGCTTGACGATGTTCTCATGCTTGACCTTCTTCAGGACCTCGAACTCCCTCACCTGTACGTCGTGCGGTCGCATGTGGCTCAGCTGATTGAAGGTCTTCACTGCGACTGGTTCCCCATTGTTTTTGTTAACACCCTGGAACACCGCACCGGTCGCGCCCTTGCCGAGCACGCTGGTGGTGCACCAGACATAGTTGGCGGATCCACGAAGGAAGGACATGTCATCCACGCAAGACTTCTCCTGGACAAACCTGACTTCCGTCACCTATCCGTCTCCCCGCTCACATTGTGCGATCCTCTTGTGACGTCACAAACGTCACCTTCCACGTTTCGATGGACGCTCGTCGACGCGTCTCCGTTAGAAAACCATGAAACCTCTGAGAAACATTTTCGGCTAGAATATTAGGGGCAATGTTTGTGAATACGGAGAATGAAAATAGAAAGTAGATTTAAAAGGCAGCGTGTTTGGAGTGACACGTTTACAAGCGGAGCGAACAACCTAACCTATGCAGAAACGGAAAGTTTATTTACATCGACATTAGAGGTCTGTTCGCGTTGCTGAAATCCCTAAAAATGTTTGCACTTAAAAGGAGATAAATATATATATATATTCGGACGTTGAAGAGAGAAAGAGAGAAAGCGAGTATGCTAAGTGCAAAAAGTACAAGCAACTGAAGTAACGCGAACAGACCTATCGACAGTTCTGGATTTGGACTTCGGAGTTTCGCGCTTTTACCGCTCGAGGTCTTTAGGAGTGATTCGGAGAGTTGATCCATTACTCCTGTCCTGTCCCTCGAAGAGCGTAGAAGAGGAAGGGAGATAGTGAAGAAAAGAAGAAGAAATTGGCCGAAACAAACCCGGCAAACCGCCTCTTTTCATCATGGAACTGACGGAATTGATGAAACACCTGAATAAGATCAATATCCCGCGTAAAGGCGACAGGATATACAAGGACGAGTGCGTTTACTCCTTCGACACGCCAGTAAGATTATCCCTCGTCTTTTGTTCCCCTTGCCGACGACACCTCCAGCGAAATTGTCGGGCGCGATCGTTCTCAATTGAAAAAATATATTTCTTCTTTGTCCAAGGATACAGCCACCGGCCTCTATGTCAACCTCTTCACCTTCTTGGGCCTTGGACGGGAGCATATTACTCAGTACTATAAGAACACCGGCAATTCCGTCTACCTTCATATTAAACGTACTAAGAAGGAGGTAATTTCTATTTGTCTAGCATAAATTCATGAGACCTGGAGATTAATTCTGTATCTTGAAACAAGGTGAAAATTACAAAAGTGAGTGAATTTACTGATTAAAAATACTGATAATTTCATTGGTCAACACCTAGTAAATTTACTCATTTTTGTAATACCTTGTTTTACCTTGATTGAAGATACAAAATCGACCCCCTGTTTTTTTTAGCTGAAATTCTTTTTTTACGGTTTCTATTTTCACATTGGAGAGAAAGATGAACTGTACCAAAGAAACGTAGCTAAATAGAATAGACTTATTATCTTGTTGAAGAGATCTTAACTTCTAAGTTTGTTCTTTTTATATTGAACTTTTTGCATGATTTATCTTTCTTTCTTTTCTTTCCAATTTGAAGAAAAAAAGAGAAGAGATGTATTGTACATACTGTTTCATTTAACAAAAACAGGCTTTTTGCTTTGTATGGAGGCTGATGCAACATATTATTATTAACTCTAGAACTGCTAATAGTAGATATCTTGTTAAAATTGTTAAGTGCCAATTTTTCAATTTCTTATTCCTATTTACGATTAGTGAAAAGTATTATTTTAGTATTATTGTTAAAATTATATATTTGTATTATATTTATATATTTTATATTATATGTCTAATATAATAAAGAAAAAACTTTAAATGGTTAGCAAAGCTGAAAGTGGCATCAACGGCAATTTTAGTGTTTAAATAAACAGGATATAATATATGATGAAATAACAAGACATTCTTTGTACAAAAGTTTCGTTGATATCAAGTTATATTGTCAATAATTACACACTAACCTTATCATTTACATCGTTATTTGAAGTGTAGTTATGTTTGTGTTTAAATCAAAGTTTGATTTTTAAATAAAAATAATTGATTTACTCTATACATTGACAAGAGAGATTTGTAAAATATACTATTTTTACATAACTCTTTTTATACCTGATTTGAAAAATATATGTAAATTTTTTTATAGATTTCACCCGAGGAACAGGGAGATGGACCTGAAAAGAAAATTACGCGACTGGCGATAGGGACAGTAGGTGGATTCATGCCTGATCAGCAGAAGTATATCTATGAAGAGACATACCAGATAGTCATTCTACCTGATTTCCTTACTATTGCTTATCCTGGGAGCGAGTTGCCTGAAAAGGTAGGATTTATCTGTGAGATTGTGTATTAGAGATACTTACTATATATACATTATATACTATATACTCTTTTTTCATATACTGTTTCATTTTAATTTATACAAGCTTATTGTTCAACTTACTGAAATCAACAAAAACGATAATCAAAAGTTTGACATCTCATGGCCAGACTCTATTATCTCTATTATCTCTATCTATGTATAATTGAGAGTCTCTATTATATATGATTGATAATACATTTTTTAACAAAAAATATTATGCGTAGGTTTAAACAAAAATCATTATTTCATAAATGTGATAGATATGATAAAGTATTATTTCCAAAATATGACACGGGATTCGACCAAGAAAATCTGAAAAAGGTCTTGAGCATCTAGCAGTATATGTCACCATTACGAAAAAAATGGTCACGACATTTAAATAACTTTTTTGTCAAAGAGTATATTTAAAATATTTAATATTTATCGCAGGTGGAACATGCAGTTAAGACTATATTACAAATGGAAGGTGCATGGGCGGTGGCGCAAGTAGAAGCCGTAGCCAGCATGTGGGATGGAGAAGTCAGAGCAGAGTCAAAGTGAGTCCCTTAAAAAGTTTACTGTGGCATTTATTAATACCACAGGGTGATCTTAATATATAATTAGTTGCGTGAAATTATAAATATATGTTCAATAGAAGAGTAGATTTTCGCAAATATCCTTTATACAATAACATACTGAACGCTTTCATGTTGCTTTTAAATCATCACTCAGAATTAATGTATTCAAATTTTATTTCAAAGATGTAGAAACTTTTCTTTCAACTTTTTTTAATCACTGGAATAATGTTTGGTTATATAGGTATCCGAAATTTTTATTAAATCTTCGTAAAAATCTTTTATTATAAATAAGAATGTGTAAATAAAGTTTGTCGGACTTTTCAGACATGCCGCAACTCTGAAACAGCTAGACAATGGCAAGAAGATTCCGCCGAGTGGTTGGAAATGTGAGAAATGCGATCTCACGCAGAATCTGTGGCTTAATTTGACTGACGGTAGTGTGCTCTGCGGTCGTAAGTTCTACGATGGAAGTGGCGGCAATGGTCACGCGGAGGAACACTACCGCGCAACTGGCTATCCTCTGGCTGTGAAGCTGGGCACAATCACAAAGGGCGGTAAAGCCGACGTGTTTTCGTATGATGAGGACGACATGGTAGATGATCCGAATCTGACAGCGCATCTGTCGCACTGGGGTATCAACATCGCTCAGATGGAGAAAACAGACAAGTCAATGATCGAACTAGAATTGGATCTAAATCAAAAGTTTGGCGAATGGGTGTCCCTTCAAGAAGCAGCCAGCAAATTGACACCATTGTACGGCTCCGGCTATACTGGATTGACTAATCTGGGAAATTCTTGCTACCTCAACAGTGTCATGCAAATGCTGTTTATTATTCCCGATTTCGTTAAAAGGTGCGTAAAATTGTCGATGATGTGTTTTCATTTTCCGCGAATGATTTTTGCTTCGACCATATAAGTAGGACTGACAGAGTCTCTCTGATAAAAGGAATATTATAGGATCGACGTCCAGTAATTGCCAGTAAATTTCAGATATGTGGAGAGAGCGCCAACAATATTCGCTAATAATCACAACGACCCGGCATCGGATATTAATGTTCAAATGTGAGTTACGCGATGATACTTGATAAGGTAGTATTTTACAATTACCTAAATCTCTGAAATATAATTTAATGAACCTCTATTTCTTCAGGGCGAAATTGGGTATTGGCTTACTCTCTGGCAAATACTCGGATCAACCGAGCAAATCCGGCACGGACGACGAGTCGCGACAGGGTATTCCACCGCGGATGTTTAAGGTCCTGATTGGTCGCGGACATGCCGGTTTCTTCTCGAATCGACAACAAGATGCTCAGGAATTTCTTCTTTACCTGATTAATTTACTTAGTGTAACTATTAAATTTCGTCTTTATTATTAAGTTAAATTGTCAAAGATTTTAATTAAGAAATCGATTAAATAGCGCAACAATCGACATGAAGTGTGTCCCACGGAATGTTTTAAATTTAAAGTTGAGGAAAGATATCAGTGTGGCAAATCTAACAAGGTTAAGTACACCAATCGGCCGGAATATATCCTGCCACTGCCGATACCATTAGAAGCGGCAGTGAATAAGGTGTGTACATTTACGTATTTAAACGTATTTGATAATCTTTTTGGAAAATAATGTCCTTGCTACCGAAATTAATCAAGCGATATATCTAGGATGAGGTAGCTGCATACGAGGCTCAGAAGAAGGAAGCCAAAGCGAAAGGGCAGAAGCTAGATTCTAATAATCCCGTGAGACCTCGTATAAAATTGTCGTCATGTCTTGAAAGTTTCAGTCGCACAGAAATTGTGGAACAGTTTTACAGTTCAGCATTAAACGAAAAAACGATAGCACACAAGTAAGTATTATTATAATTATTGATTAGCTAGCAATGACATTGTCCTATTCGCTTGATAATTTATCGCTTGATATTCGAACATCTTAATTCTATTTAATGGAAATCAACAATATTATAATCATTGTATATTTCTAAGTCCCTCGTTTCATCGTAAAAATTAAACAGATTCGATTTTTTAGCTAATTCTTTTTACATTATTATTTCTTTAGAACTACCAGACTAGCCAGCTTTCCAGATTACTTGCTGATCCATCTGAAGAAGTTCACAGTGAAAGAAGATTGGACACCTATTAAGTTAGACGTGGCGATAGAGATGCCAGACACGATAGATCTGAGCTTCTTACGCGGAAACGGTTTACAGTCCGGCGAGGAATTGTTACCAGATGGTGCGACGCCGCCAGCGCCCGTTTATGACGCGAATCTTTTAAAGGACTTGATGGACATAGGTTTTCCACCAAACGCGTGCAAGCGAGCTCTATATTTTACGGAGAACCGTAATCTCGAAGCTGCGACCAATTGGGTGATGGAACACATTGCAGATTCCGACTTCGATGAACCATTCGTGCCACCAGGAGTCGACGTTAAATCTAGTAAATCGATTCGCTTTAGCGTCGAATCATAGCCGACTGATTGACTTTACTTATTTGATTATTGATTTTAGGCGAAGATACATTTGTGCCAGATCAAGCTGCTTTGGAAATGGTAATGGGCATGGGTTTTACGCGGGAACAAGCGACAAAAGCACTCAAAGCGACCAACAACAATTTAGAGCGAGCGGCTGATTGGATTTTCAGTCATCAAGCTGAGCTTGATGCTCCAGAAACGGAGAGTAACGCGGCACCAGCGAAGGAATCGTTCAGAGACGGAAACAGTCGTGAGTCAATCAAATCATCTATCTTTCAAATTGTGGATTGTAGCAATAATTCGAAATAAAATATTCGGTCTATTATAAATAATATGGACACAGTATGCAAAAATGAATAAAAATAAAGCGAAGGAAGTTAGAATCAACTATATATATTATTATTATATTATTATAATTGATTTATGATATATTATTATCGAAATTTATAAAGCTTTGATTTACATCTATATCATCATTGAGAGAAATTGATCGAATTTACTTTTTTGATAGTTTCATCGCTTCTTTGTTTTAGGATACAAACTAGTGGGTTTTATATCACATATGGGTACATCGACGATGGTAGGTCATTACGTTTGTCATTTACTGAAGGAAGACCGATGGGTAATATTTAATGATGAAAAAGTACGACAATTATTTCTAGATGATCTTTGAGTTCTATTTTGATGGGATTATCGTTTCTGAAAATTTTGATGCTTCTTTTCTTATACGAATCGAATTTATTATTGCAGGTTGCTTTATCAGAAAATCCACCGAAAGAGTTAGGATACATTTACATGTATCAACGGATCGACTAGTATAACTGCTGTTTTGTAAAAAGATGTTGCTTTTCAACAATAAAAAAATAATACAAACACTTTTTTTATATATTATGTATATTGAAAGTATATCAAAGTGATAATGTGTTAAATAATATGGCTAATTTTCACTAGAAACAGTACAAGGAAAACTATAATACTATTTATAAGGGAAAGTAAGGGAATGTACAAAGAATACAAGATGAAAATTCCACTTTATTTTCTAACAATGGCACATTCCTCAATGTGTTTTAAAGCGCTTTACGATTACAATCGCCGATGAAAATAAAGTAAACTCTGTTCTACGAATATACATGAATTAAAAAAAAAGCAAACTATCTTGTTTTTAATGAATATTTCATAAATGCATAAGTACCGGATTAATGGACTCTATGGCAATGTATAACAAGTTCCTCAACATGTTAATTGAAGTAACATCGAAATAATCGTAAAATAATATATATGTATTTTGATTAAGCTTGATCATATATATTTTCTATACACAGTAAATCTCTCTAAATCTAAGTACACGAAAGATTCAAAACTTCTCTTCGAAAAGGACGCAATTAATTTTCGTTCCATTTTGTGTCAAGTTAGCAGGCACTATGGGTGCATATATATTTTGTCGCATTGTTTTTGTAGTTATATAAATATATATATATATTTGCTTTGTCGTACTGCTGTTTGCATATCTATGAGTTCATGTAAAAGTCTTTAAAAAATATTTCAATCTGTAATAAGTATAGAAGGCCACAAGCTTACAGTACAATTGCGGTTAATGAGAAACATTCTGTATAATACCATTATATGACAGTAGCATTTTAGTTATCTCATATAAATTAGATGTCATAAGTTATCTCACATAATCTGCCGCTGTTCACTGTTGTATTCCGATAAAATTTGTGGATTTCACATCTCGTCCTCTCTTACACAGACGCATACAAATCTGTGATCTCTCTTACAACGCACATTATATATAAGCTAACAATATTTATAATACATTATAGAGTATTTACAGAGAAATGCGTTATGTGCGCAATACCCGATGGAATATATCGCATACGGAAAGCCAAATTTCTCGTACACTTTAATACCATGCAAGTGACTTGTATACATTATGTATGCATATGTAATTAACTTGTACTGCAATCTCTTTTTTTTTTATACATATTCTTGACAAGTATATCTATTATGCAGGTACTACAATTGACAACATTTCAAACTTTTAGCGTTTATTCTTCAAAAAATATTAAAAAATGTTTCTTCGTTGAAACCATTAAAACATAAGACAAAGAGATAACTTTTAAAGTTATAATAAAAAGTCAGAAGTTATAATGCTGTATGACATCATATTGTTGAAAAAAAAAATTAGTAAATTTTTTAAGTGATAATTCTTATTAATGTTCTTATCAAAATTATTTTCGCGACCTGCACTTGAATTTTCGGCTGCAATAATATATGTCAATGCCTATAATAATATAATATGTATATTATAATTAACCAGAACTCGGACATCACATTTACTTTGATTATGTAACAGTATATAGTTACTTTCGTCATACATGTCATAATAAAATTGCATTGACATTCGTCACAACATGATTAATACTGCGTGAAAAATATATGCAAAACGATCGATTCAACCGGGAAAGACTCAAATGCGAATACTGGATATTATTTTACGAAATCGCTAACCAGCTTTCCGTAAAATAATTGCACAACGGCACACATTTAATAATATACTGTTTCACACAACAGTATATTATCAAAAAATATATTCAATATATTTTGTTATGATACAGTCTCAAGTAAGCCGTCAGACTTTATAACTAATCAATATGGATCTATTGTCTTTTATTAATACCACCATCGATGATACCCACCGATGGTGGAATGGCATAAATGATTTGATTACCATCCTTCTTGAATGTAGGCTCGATGACATCAGGCATCACCTCAATATATAATAATTTACTCTTGTTACCTAGCATGCACTTGAACTTTATGTCCACTGTGACGTGCAGGTCGGCGCCACGCAGTCTATCCAAGAAAAAAAAGATTTTATTGCCAGATTCTTTCAAATGTGTGTGAGAGAGAGAGAGAGAGAGAGAGAGAGAGAGAGAGAGATTACAATTAAATAAAAAATATATCCCCTTTCCTGGAATTCAATTGAACCATTTATCAAAATTTTCGGAAAATTTTTGCAACAAATATAATATTCTTATATACAATATATGTATATAAAGTGTATTTGCATATCCAGATATTATTGAGCTTTAAAAAATATTTTCAAAGTGACTTACTGATAGTATCGGTTGCTCAGTATGCCGACTAGTTCTCCGACCCTATCGTCTTTGGCGATGATCGATAGAATGAAATCATTTCCGCGATTCGAGTGAATCGTGATAAGTTGATCCTTTCCAGGCGAAACACTTAGACCGGTGATCTCCGCTATCGGCATGCCTTTTCTCATATTCTTAAACTTGACGCCATCAAGCTTATATACGATATGTTCCGTCACTACTAAAACACGATCCGCTGGCTTGTTGTACCTGCATTATTTTTTAGATTATCATACTATTTATTGCTAGATCTATCATGAGATTATCAACAAAATGAGAAACCTGTTAGTCTTTCTAATAAATGCGCTGAATAGAACGGTTTTGAAATGATCAGTGTTTCGTAGATTGTTTATCGATGAGTTGAAAACATCACTTTGAGAATTCTCGTCCGGTTTGCACAGATAGTTTCCATCCCAGCGACGATCCTGGCCCCAGTAAGATCGCTTCGAGCGCAACACAGCGCTCGCTGCCATCTGTAAATCATATTTATGACATCAGTATAATTAACGAATATTGAGTTACTTACTGATAATCTATTTTAAATGGCAAATGTTAAGTTGATAGATTGCAAAAATTGTTATAAGCGCGTACTTTCAATCGAAGTTGCGGCCAATCTTCCCGAGGAATTGCTCTAAGTATCATCCACGCCCACCATCTCGCGTATATATTCCTCAAAGCGGATACCACGTGTCTCACAGCGAAATTTTCGCGTGGCCACGGTAAAGTCTTGCCATAACTTCGAAGATTTTTAGCGTTTCTGAATGTTCTCTCGAGTTGCTTGATATAAATACGTCGTTTGTATCTTTTGTAATGCTCCATCAGTATCAACGCGGCCCTCATCTTCTTGTATTTCTGACGGCAGATATATCCTCGCCATTGCTTTTGTAGAAGAATCACGACGCCTGGTATCAAATCGTTGCGCATCTACGAAATAATTAATGAAATAATTAATATTCACTTATAATTTTGTCGTGATATATAAAATCCAGATTTGATCAATTAACCTTTTCTAATGCAAATAAAGTCTGTGGCGAGCGAATAAATATCTTCGTATGACCGTATTTAACGTCGTCCGAGAAGTGTTTCTCATTCATCAATGTGCGTACGCCATCCATATCACGTTCGCCTCGGAAGTTTGGCCATGTATACTGCGATATCATCTTATACCTGGTAACAAAAAATTAAATTCATTATTATTTCTACAACAGAGAGATAGATTTGCGTTTAGAATACTTATATAGTTTAATAGATCGTTCAAAAAATAATTTGTAAATCTTAAAGTTTTAATAACCACATAATTCTGTTATTTACCACATAATTACTGTTTATTTTTTGTAGTTCTTCTTTTGTGTTCTTTTTTATTTATTTCATTTTTATTTTTTATTTTTATTGAATAATTATCTGATCATTATAACAAATAAAGCTATGTTATTTAATTTTACTGCATTCAATACCTTTTTAGAAATCTGTCGTATCGTTGTCTGTAAACAAAACCAGCTCGTCTCACCAATATGTTCTCCACAAGTCCCAAGTATCTCACTTGATGATTTACTCTCTCATCATCGAACACGACTGGAGACTTTACTTCGTTAGGTTTTATGCATCTGACATAAAACGGTTCTTTACTTGCTAGATTCTTCACTAGTGCGATCATAGAATTTCGGAACAACGTACCAGCAGTTAAAGGTCTCTTTGTCGTCTAAAAGAAATAACGCAGATTTAATTAAGTCTTCAGATCAGAATCTTTTTCAGATGAATGAATTGTATCTACATTTAGCATTAACGATTATAATATAGATTATAATATTTATAACACATATGTGAGCGATCATCTTTGTACCTTTAAAATATTCTGAGCACCTTCAGGCCACATTTTGCTAATTACGTGCTTGGATATAACAGACGTTTAAAATCTTTGAAGAGCGTATCTTTGTTCTTGTCAAGGAAACCATTAATATTATAAATCACATCGCCAGCATAATGTTTGATTTTAAATTGTGTCCTATGTTCCAATTCTTTATCCATCGGTTTTAATCGTCGAGAACTATAATGTTTATGGTCCACTAATTTCTTATCCATTGCATCGAGAAGCATCTAAAAAAGGCGTGTTTTAATTTTTCTTAAGAAACTTTAGATCTTCTTTCGCTTAATGAAACTTTAGATCTTCTAGTAACCTCATCGGTGACCTTCCCGACATTGAGGCAAGCTTCATCCATGATCGCTATCATTCCCTTGTGAGCTTGCTCGACTAAATCGCAAATGATTTGATTATTGAAATATTCAATGTTTTGCCATTCTATCCCTTCCTTATGGTATTCTTCTTGCTCTTGTTTGAGAACCAACTCTGCGACAAAATGTTCGTAATTACAATTTATTGTTTTATGTCTTAAGTTCAATCTGAAGTGTATATTAAGCATTACACTCACCGATAAAAAGCTGTTGTAGCTTTTCGTTACAATAATTGATACAAAACTGCTCAAAATTGTTTACATCGAAGATTTCAAAACCGTAAATATCAAGCACACCGATCAGTGTTCCGTATCTCCTCATGTCATCGCTGTTATTTACGTTGATGGATCCATTGACGAGCGATACTATCCACGTGAACAATCGCTCATATATAGCCTGAAAAATTTATAAAGATCTTTGTCAATACATGTCAATTATAAAAAAACTGTAAGAAAATAAATAAGTTGAACACACTTTCGCTAATGCATCTCGACCGTATTCAGCTTCGATCAAAGTGTGAGTCTTTTGCATGACTTCTCCACCCGCTGCTATGACTCTTTGCGAGAGAGCAGTGCTCAAATCTTTTGAGTTGATGGAGAACAAGTTAGCGGTGTCGTTCAAAGCACTATTATTCCCGATTATAAGTTTGTCATCATCCAGCCTGAAAGTGATGTTACCCTGGAAAGGGTAATGAAGAATTAAATGACGCATATAATGATTGGAAGGAAAAATATAAGAAATGTTAGAGTGTTAAGAAAAGTGTTTTATTTTTATGTCAACTGCCTACCAGATGTAAGATACCAGCGATAACATTCCATATGGTATGCGTCTCATTCGCAGAGAATCCAAGAGTAAACATGGCACTACAAACAGTTTTGTAATCATTTCTATCAGAGAAGGTCGTCTTATTATTTTTTCCATTATCGATGAAATAATAAGCCGCCGGATCGCGGACTAAACGTAGCTTATTCAATTCAGCCTCGCTGCAGCCGTTCAATAACTAAAAATTAAATTTCTGCTATGACATATTTTGTATTTGCGAGCAATTCTTATTCCTATAGTTTCTAATCGCGCAGGAAGCTTCAAGCGTGAAATTGTAGTGATTGCGAATGAACGAAACCTGATAAAAGCAGTGAAAATTGCGTTCTCCTTTTTGCTGATAGACCACCCGCGATTTCTCGAGGAGATAATTAGTCACGTGGCCGCCGATGGGATCTCCCTTGAAATCAAAATTGATGTCCATGTACTTTCCGAAACGTGATGAATTGTCATTTCTATTTGTTTTGGCATTGCCGAATGCCTCCAATATCGAGTTCGATTGGATGAGAATGTTTTTCACTCTGTAAAAATGCATTTTTATCGCGCTTAGCAGCTCTAAGGAAAGAATAAATATTTTCACTATAATCTCGACAGAATTTTACATTTTACATTGATTGTGCGATTAAGTAATGTATGATCATGTATGAAAATACATTGAGATTAATCTTATCACTTGTATAGAGATTCGCACATCAGATAGTGATTAGATAGTGAAAACTGATACTAATTGTCATCAGCTCCTAAATAATCTAAACGATAACCCGTACCTCTCAATCTCCTGCTGACCGCTAAGGTTGGTTACAGCGGCGATGTACTTCATGATAATTTTGCTAGCTTCTGTTTTACCAGAACCCGACTCGCCACTTATGACTATGCAGGTGTCTCTGCCCTGTTGCTTCATCTCTTTATGCACCGCATCCGCGATCGCGAAAATGTGCGGAGGGTTCTCGAACAGTTCTCTCCCTGGAAGCGATTTTAAAGATAAAAACATTGCAAAATATATTAAAAGTTAAATGCGTGCATTTTATTTGTCTCGACAATTAATTGAATATTCATTTTGAAATAAAAACTCAAAATCAGTATTCTTTCGAACTAAATCACACCTTTGTACTTATTAATCTGATCCACATCATAAATATTGGTGCTTTTGTAAGGATTAACGCTCACACAAACTTCACCAATATAAGTGTAAACTTTTCCCCCATTAAATCTGCAACAATACAATAAGAGTAGAGGATATATTAAAAAAAAAATCTGAAAGAGTGAACAATTAAAAAGTAGAATCAACTAGAAATAGAATTAAAGCAAAAAAGATAGAATTCCCTAAAAAATTCATATCATTAAAATGAAATTTTTTTTATAATAATGATAATCTTCAAGAAACCGTATACGGAGAGAATTTTTTCTTAGAATTTACTGAAAATATGATAATCGTGAGACAACATTGTATTTAACGAAGAATTTTAATGTAAATCTCTCTTATTCATTAATAAAACTACAATAAAGTATAAAATAAGTTTGATTAATTTTACTGAAGTGCATAATAAAAATCTTTAAAATATTTTGTATTGTATCACAACTACCATTTTGAAAAATTATCAAATTTTAAAAGAAAATTCTCTCCGTGTAGTAACACAAGCAACTTTATACTTTCTGTGTGCAACGCAAAAAGAAACTGAGTATTTTATCGAATCTGCATTGGTCTTGATTCGGTAAAATACTCAGTTTCTTTGGTAAGCAATTAGCTCGTATAATAAAATTTATTAATAAATAGTTTTACGATTCTATGGATATATCGATATCCATGAAAACGAAAGATAAGTATTATTTGCCAGACAACAGACTCAACTCAATTTTGAGTTTACCGAGGCATATAATGAGTCATTCGTCCTTACTTCGACGTGCTTGCCAATGCAACTAATTATTTTTTTACTTATAACAAAAAATTTAAAACAATATATTTAACATACAGAACGTTCTTTCCAATTTCTACATTCGATTAAAGAAATACTGAATTTTGATAATTAAAGAAATATAAATCTAGATAAAAGTGTTGTTCGAATCAATTAGTTTATTCAACTATTATTATATGGCGTTAATATTATCTTATTAATTTATAGTATTAATAATGTGTAGCATTAATAATATATAGCATTAATAATATATAGTTATAGATATTAATTATAATATTCTGCAAAAAAAATCTTAATTTAACACAACAGTAATTCTTATTGTTAATTACATTTTTTAACTGCTCTTCGCTTTTAATATTTATTTACTTTTACCAAAATTATTATAATTAATTATTGACTATTATCAAGCTTCGTAAGGATGACGCGAGCATATCTGAAAACTATGCAACAACTCAAGGATGATGACGCATCGCCGACACGAGCCCCGATAAGGATTACACGAGTCGCATACATTCGTCGTGTATATTCGAGGATATGCGTCTTCGAACGCTCATTTTCTTGTCATCGAATTTACCGCTAAATGAGCTTGCCCTCGTGTGCCTTCTCGGCTCGCGTTGGCGTTGGATAACATGAGTCGTCATCTAAAATGATGACATAAATCGATAAAAATAAAATCTCAACCCATGTATCAATTCGTGGACAATCAGTCTGCATTGAACTTAATTTTAAGGAATAAATTAAATGGACTTGAATTACAGTTCAAAATATTAAATTAATAGAGATCATAATGAGCAAAACGTTTAAAAAACAAACCAAGGCTTTCCTTAATTGTGATACATATCCTTTTTGCATCGTACTTTAATTACCAATCATTTTATAACCAATCATTTTAACGCAATCGTTTGAGACTTCTAATTCCGAATTTTTCTCTTGGTGAAATCTGCCAGGAGAAAAGAATCATTCTTTACATGAAATAATTAATTCATAGATGCCCCTGAAAAAAAAAAGGAAAGATTCTTTTATCACGAGTCCGATATTTAACGTTAAATAAATGTAAGACCTTTACGTGCGATTTTCTGTATACGCTCTTTTGCTTCTTTCTCGTGAAAGTTGCAGTTTAGCAAATGGCCGGGGTTGTGTTAATAGTTTTGAAGCGTGCAGGAAAAATAATAGGCGAACCCGTTTGAAATCTAGTTTGGCAATAACGGGTTCGCCTATTATTTTTTAGATACAAGATATCGAAAAGATATAGATCTAATCGTCTAAAGTCTGATATGACAGTTCGAAAAACTTTCTAACCAGATTACTCGATAATATAACATTATGATAAACAAAATAATGCTTAGCAATTCACTTACATAATCATAATTTGAAAAAGAAAGTGTGTCTTGTTTTACTCTTTATAGATTCATATATAAATCAGATCTTTCGAAACGTAATTGAAATCTTCAGTCTTCTTTTTTGCTCTTTATAGATTTATATATAAATCAGATCTTTCGAAACGTAATTGAAATCTTCAGTCTGTTCCTTAAAATTAAATGTTTTATAACACATTCTTGATATGATTTATTTTTAGATAATTATTTGATTTTTGTAATTCATATCAATCTAATTGGATATGTTCATATACATAAATGATTGATTCCTAATTGAGTTTCATCATTCAATCAGATATTTATACCTAATTAACCGTGATTCCTCCGTGCTTAGTTTGATTTAATCTAACATGTAGATCTATTTAAGATTTCACGTAATATGTCTAGAGTGTACGATGAATCAGAGCGTGTAATTCATTTTCACTCATACATATCTATACATTTTCCAAGAAATATGCGTCATGCATTGTGTATCATTAATCTTTGAGTGCTATCAAGTGAATTCAAATCTCAGTCCAGCGTAGTAATTACATACAAAGCATAAAAAATATGGTAGCAAACTGACGTCATTATTTTGACATAAAAATCAAAAGAAAACAAAGATGTCATTCTGGACCAAAATAACGAACATCATCTTGCTGGATTCTATATTTCAGAAAAAAGCTTGTAACTTGCATAAAAGACACAATATCTTCATATGTATTAAACAGATAAAATATTTACGAATAAAGATGTTATACAAATCATTAATGTTTTGGTATCTTTTTGGTACACACAGAAAAGAGTACATATTTTATATTTAAATCTTTTAATTACTTTTTTATTTTTAGTTACTTTTTTCAAATATTTCAAAAGTTCATATATCTGCAAATCTATCACAAACATAAAATTTATTTAAATATATTTTGAATCTCAATAAGTTTAATATTTCAATCAAGATTATTAAATCAAAACAAATTCGATTTGCTTATTATATAAAGTAGCTTCTTTCATAAAATTTTATAAAACATTCTTCGAAAGAAACTAAATTCTTGCTTTGAGTACATGATAATAAATTTTTCTTAAATTTGTAAAACTATTATCAAGAAAATATTTTTTGTTAAAAATAATAGTTACCTAAAAGGAAAAAAACTAAACAATCACTTAACAACAGAATATTCTGTGTGTATTATGAAGCTGTTTAGATTTCAGAAACGTTTGAAAAAATGTTTACAATTATAAAGTCATCATTCTCTGAGTCACTAACAATTGTGGGAAGAATATATAGATTAACAGCTGCTTTATCTTAAATTATGTTATTTGACTTTGGTCTCTGTGCGACTTCGCGACGGATGCACGCAACGTACGTGTTGCGTGAGTACACGCGCCCTTTATCCTCAAAATGATGCACCCACGCAATCGTGCAACAGGTATAATATTGTTGCTTCAGTTACTCACAGTGCGATATTTAATTCCATGCTCCGATACACACGATACTGTAAATTGGAGTAGTTGCCCTGACGTGTTCTTTTTTTGCGATGCTAAGCGATGATTTTCTCGACTCGCACGCCTATTTAGGCTTATTAGCTCATTATTTATCTTTGGAAATCATTCAGAAAACTTGGCAGCAAGATAGAATAAAAAACCTTTACGAAGGAATGCTCAACTAAATCGTCATTTATCTCTGGAAACAATTTGGCAAAATAAAGATCTCATTTATAGACAATAAATTATATTGAAAATTAATTAATAATTGTTTATCGATTCTAGAGATTCAATTTAACGAAATATGCTTTTCGCTATTAATCCTGTGATTTGTTCAAATACTAAACGACCATACTATGATTAAAAAGCTCTAAAAAAAGATATTACATTAGAAGTCATCAAATATATTAGAAAAAAAGTTTAAATAAAATATTAGTAAGAAAATTAATTAAATTTTAGATGAAACAAACAGAGTTAAATATTTCAAATAAGACACCGAATTTTTGTTTGGAGAAAGTTCAGTTTCGAAAAAAAAAAAGATGAGTTTATGACTGTGTATGACGCGTTATAATGAAATTAAAATGAAATTACAATGAAATTACTACTGTTTCAATTAACTAATCTAAGTTAATTTACTAATCGCTATTTTTAATTTTGTATTATAGCTTTATTTACCGAGGTACAAAAAAGACGAATTAGTTACAGTTAACGCTGATTAACAACCGGTCGCACATTAATGATTGCTCATCTAAAATCCAACTGTAGTCACGCAATGATCTGATAACTCATTATATTATGTTATGTTTAAATTATAGCCTCGCCTGTAATGCGGAAAAGTAACATCCAATTAAGTAATAATTAGTGTCGGTACAACTGGTCTGGGAAAAGTTGTCACTGGAATCATTAAATGAAAACGTAAGTATGAAACGAGATTACTTCGAGCTTATCAAACTGGAATAAATTACTTCTAAGATTTATAGCTTTTTGATATGTACTACGCGTGTTTCTTGATTATATATTGTTTTCTTTTAAAAAGCGAAATATATCCAATCCAATAATAATCCAACAATGAAAAAAAAAACATTTTTTAATTTTTCCCTCGATTTATTTGTGTTTAAAAGAAAAGATAAATTTATATACAATTAAAAATATCGAAATAAAATAACGTGATGCGTATTTCATAGAAAATATGATTAAAAAATATCTGATTTTTACATTAAAATCACAACGTGAGTTAAACATCAAGTTATATCAAAGATGCTTCGTTTTTTTTCCAGTGTTTACTCCAATTTATTTTTAATTTGAAAAATGAAAAAATTCAAACAAACTTATGTTCATATTTTCTGTTTTGTTTCTAAACTCGCCTTTTAAAATATAAAGGTGCTTTCCTTCTAATGACACAAGTTGATAAAAACATAAATTATTTATTTTTAACATTCAGTGAATAACAAAGAAGAATGCGAAAGAACACTTGCGCCGACTTACGTCATCAAATGAAAAAAACTCTAAGAATCGCTGTATATTATAACAATTTTCTCACTTTTGATTTTTTAAGGATTAAAATATATGCAGAAATTTTATCGTTATATATAACAATTTCCTCACTTTTATTCTCTAAAGATTAAAATATATGAAGATGCAAAAATTATTTTGGAGTCGCTATAAATTTCATCGTCGCGCTTTCAGCCTTGCCCGACCCTCGCAAAAACACAAACCATCACTAGCCAGAATTAACTGATCAAGGCTATCCAGTGAAAATGATTTCGACGACGTCTCCCCGGACGTTGTCGTTGCTTTCAGCAGGTCAAGTTCAAGATACATTACGAACTTATAACATTCGAAGCACGTGAGAGATAAAAGAGAAAGAGAAATGCAAATATATATGTACTTCATTCTCTTAAATCATCCTGCATATCATCTAAATGCATTGCTTCACGCGCATATCTTCACTTTCACTGAATAATGATATAAAGTAATAAGTTCGAGAATCCCGTTTCTCGAAATGGAAAGTTGATAAAATACATAATACATGATCGCGCGATCGATCAACGTCTATAAATTTGCAATATCTCCAAAACGGTTCTCCAGTTCGGTTTGAAGTAAGGAGGCTGAAGGAAGGTAAACCCTTCTTCTTCTTTTTCTTGAGATTCTCCTGTTCGGATTTCCGATCCAACATAAAGGGTCACCTGAGTCAGTACCATGCGGTGAATTTAAATCAAAAGATCCTGTAATAGTCTCTTCTGAGGATAGAGACTCCATGGACAAGTAAACCTTTCACTATTTCTAGGCGACCACCTGCCGACGCGCAAGCCACGCCCTCTCGCGGGCACAGGAACGAACCGAGCCTCACACAACGCGGGACGCTCCCCGCTGTCAAGACTCCACCTGTCAAGAATCGCGTCTGCAAATTTCAGAACGGAGTCATCGATACTTTGGAGTGTACGCACCTTGTCCTAAGGTTGTCCACCACGCGCTCGACCGTGATTTCGTCCAGCAACACGAAGTCGCCGATGCCGACATCGTGGCTTGCCATATCTGTCTCGTTCACCCGCACGTAATGCTCACGATCAAACTACACTTTGTCAATTACCACGTGTCACCACCGCGCGCAACCGATCCGCGCGCACCACTGACGGTTGGCGGGTTGGTAAGGTTGGTTTGCTCGGCGCACGTCGATCCCACCGTCGACCAACTTCGTTATCTCGCACAAGCGGCGAATGCGGTCATCTTCAGCTTGCAGTGCTGCTTCCCGCGTCCCCGCCGCGGTCGATGACGGTGCGTGGCAGTGCCGTTCATACTGAAACGTTCAGTGACGGGTGATTAGAATTCGCGACTCGATTCGCGATTCAAAATATAGCGATCGTTGACCAAGGACTGTATTTTTGAAAAATATCATATACGAAAATACTAGGAAATTTATAATTTGCATAATATATACTGTATATTTTCGTACGCGATATTTTTCGAGAATACAACCCCAGGTTCTTTTTTGTTGAACTTTTTACATTGTTCATCTTTTCTTTTTTCTCTCCGCGATGAAGAAAAAAGGAGGAAAGTTAAACGAGATGCAAGAAGTTCAGTTGGAAAGAAGAAATCTCATGTAACGTTTTCCTAAAAGAAATGTGAAAAGTGAATTTTTTCCCCATTATTTTCAATGGAAAAATTGTTATGTTTCCGTTCTAAAGAAAAAAAAAACTACACGATCGCTACCCAGAAATTGAATATGGAATAATAAAATTATTCCGTGTAAACAAAATAATGCGAATATCGCTTAAGTTATGTCCATATCTATCAATGTAGATTGACTTTAATCTCGATTTAACTTACTTTTTATCTTTTCATGATTCTTAGAAATAGAACAAAATAAAAAGTAAGTTAAATCGAGATTAAGGTTAATCTACATAGAAGTGGACATTAGGCGACTTTGATCAAACTCCGATTAACTTAATCGATAATTAACTCGATCGGCAGAATCGCTTAAGACAATCTCTAATATACAGTTCTTAATTTTTTGTATACATAGAATTTTATTATTTATTTTATTTTATTCGTATTATTTAATAAAATAATGCTGATAAATCAAGTTAATCGGAGTTTGATAAAACTGACTCTGATAACTATGACTTTCGCGAATGCAAGAATTTTTTCGTGAGAACACAGTTTAAAAATCATTTAAAAATCACATTATCATATCAAGAATTTATCACAAAATCATCATCAAAAGTAATATACAAATCAAATAACATTATCACTATGATTTTTCTTAAAATGACTTCAATCTAACTGACATTATCTTGATCTTATTATAATTTTGTGTTTTACCTGGATTATTACTGATCTTATATCATGTTTTTCTTGTCTCTCTTTTCATTCGCTATGTTTCTTTAAAATTCTTATAATAAGTTTCTATTATTATAGAAACCATAGGCTTGTTCTTTTTAGTTAAGCTTCTTACAGTTTCTCTCTCTCTCTCTCTCTCTCTCTCTCTTTCTTTCTGCTCTTTTTCGTTTTATGTTGAAAATAAGAAGAGAAAAGAGATTAACTATGCAAGAAATTCAGTAAAAAGTATAGGATATCGATCAAGTAACTTTTTCTCTACATTTTTCACGTTTTCGTTCTAAGAAAAACAATTACATCTTCTTCTTCTAGACTTATGTCCATATTCATCAGTCAAATCTTATATTTAAGGCTTCTTTAAATTTATCTTTAGATGCTCTACGAATTATTTTATAATTGTTCAAGCAGAACAACAAGTCATTTATATGATATCAAAATGATTTCAAAATGATCATTTTTCAATCATTTCTGATTCATTTTAATGTCAGTTTGTTATCGTGACTTATTGTTCTACTTGGGTGAAGAATAAGTTAAACCTCAGTTAAGAGTTAATCATAAGTTGTGAAACTGGGTTTATGGGAGCTTTTTAGCAAAAGACAAATTGACACAAGGATCATCTTTGTTCGATAATCAGTAAGAAACAAAGACTCTTGTGTCGATTTGTGTTTCTGCTAGAAAGCTCCCTTGGAATAGGCACTAGAGTCTCTCATGGAGCGTACGTGACGTACGTCCCTGACGTACGCGGAAGAGACAGACGGCGCGTGCGCGTTTGCACACACCCGTGCTTGATCACCTTTATTTGACTGGCTGTCATTACTGTGTCACTAGAGTGTCGCGAACTGTTGGCGTGTTTGGATGTGCATGCGCATGACTCCGACCTATCATCACGAACGATGTCGACGCGAACGGCGATGCCGACGATGACGATGTTCAAGTCGAGAATTGGCTCGACACCACTGACGAACGGCAATGGAAATCTCGCCGAGAGCCAGAAATCGACGCCAACTAGCCTCTGGTCGAGAATTCACGTGAACGAATGGACGTTCAGTCTGATGCTTTTTACCTTCTCGCTCGCCATTCTCGTGGCCAAGCTGTACCTGAATTATTATGGTAGGTAAACACGAGTCGCTTGAACGTCTTGCTCTTCTCAATTTCCTTTAAATCAGCACGTCGCCTGAATCTTTCTACCTCCCGAGATCGGACGTGATGCCAAGCTTCCGTTCGCGCGTCCACGAATCTCAATTGAGGTTAGATTTAAATTAATTTAAACGTACACTTTCTGTTTTGATTCTGTTGAAAGGGACGTTCCTAGCGATCTGAATCGCTTCCATGAGGAGAGAATCGTTGTCACGCGAACGACAGTAGATCGTCGCCGGTAGGACATACCCGTTCTGGGTCAATCCGTCGTATACACAAGTTTTTGTTTTGGTTACGTTGGAAGTGGGATTGTCGACAATGCGAATCTGTCTCGAGAGGAAGCCTATGTCGTTGCACGCCGATATGTACTTTACTTTTATTTTGTCTCCTGTACTTTACTTTTATTTTGTCTCCTGTCAAAACGCAATAAGCTCCGAAACGGAAATTAGCTCTGTAATTTCTCTGATTATATTTTCTATACACTTATATTATTGGATATGTTCTTCTCAGTTATGCCTTTCTATATATTTGCCTTTCTCTTTCTCTGCTTTCACAGCATGGGCAAGTGATTGTTTCTTTAAAAAAAAGAAGAGATAGAAATGTAGCTGAAAAAAACAGATCTAATATTTCTATAATATTTGACCAGGCGATCGTTTGTTAATTTGCCTTATGTTCTAATTATTATTTATTGTTAGCAAGTCATGTAGATATATATTTCTAGAATTATTTATGTGATATTAACTGTTCATGCTTTCCAATTTATGTAATATTAACTTATTAATGCTACAAGAACTTAACACGATCTAAACATCATTTGTTTGTTTATATTAATTTTACAAATTGTACTGCTATAAATTGGTGTTCCATCTCATTCTTTTATGCCTCTATCAGAGTAGAGATTGAGATTGAATTTGACTAATCAAAGCAAAGTTCGTTAAATTAAATATTAGTATAACTATTGTTTTGTACATTTACATATAAATATTACTAAGCAATATTATCAAGACTCGTTTTGTAAATGCATTCTTTTCTCTTATTTGTGTTTTTAAACATTTCTTGGTCTATTTTATTTAATATTAGTTGATATTATATCATATATTAATTCTCTTTTTTCTAATTGATTAAATTCAATTTCAATTTTTAATCTGATACGGATATTAAGACGTTCGAAAACCAGACAATTCTCATTTCTGTTATGATTTCATTGAACAAATTATTTTTCGCAAAAATTCACAATCACAGATAGCATAAAACATTCTAATAATATTCCAGCAGGATTGTAACGTTGTTGTAATATTATCTGGAATTGTGTGAGCTTTATTTCTAATAGATAAAAACGCGCAGACGAAAGAAATAAATCTAATACATCTCGGCAATAATTTGTCCAGGCAATCGTTTGTTAAGTTGCTTTATGTTCTAATTATTATTTGTTATCAATTTGTATATTTCTTAAATTATTTATGTAATATTAACCGCTTTAAAGCAAAAATCTAATTCGGATCACGAAAGTCATTTGTTCATTTATATAAATTTGATATTGTATCGCTATGAATCAACGTCCTGTCCTGTTCTCTTAGGAAATCAGACGATTCTCTAGTCGCTATTCTGATTTCAATAAACGAATTATTCCTTGGCACAAAAATTGACAATTTATTCCGTGAACTTTATTCCTTTCAGAGAACGCGTTGTATCGTGCGTTGTACAAGAGACGAAGAGATAATCGATGATTATATTCCTGTGGTGCTTTCCAAGAGTTTTATCATTTAAACGTGCGGGCTCCGAACTCGTGTTAAAATGCACATATGCACATGTAGCCTGCATTCTTCGGTTATATTTTTACCGGGGCGCGTGGCCCATTTCTATTATGAGATCATCTTTTCTCGTATGACGTGAATCCTTCGATCCTCTCCAGTTTCCTCGCTCATACATTTATTATGCGAGGTCTGCGTTGCCCATGACCGAATTTATCAAGGCTGTGTCATCGTTTTAAAAGTACATGCCTGATCATAAAAAAGAAAAGGCAACTAAAGAGAGAACTTCTTTATTTATTTTATCTTTTATCTTATCATTTTATTAAATTAATTACTTTTAAACTTGGAAAATTTCACGCGTTAGGATATAAATGTAATATATTGTATAATATTATTTTATTTAAAATTTATAATATTGTATTTTAATTGAAATATATATTTATAATTTAATTTCAAAATTATGAATATAAATTAAATTATTTATAATATTAATTTAAAAAAGAATAATAATTTAAATGTTTTCTTTACGAATTAATGTAATCTATAAAAGCTCTATAATTTTCTCTTTCTGTCTTTCAAGAGATTTATGTGGCTGATATGAGTTTCTCATGCTCTGCCCTCAGGAAAGCTTTTGTCATGGCAAACCAGCGATCGATATTCTTTGCCGATAGCATTTACGCAAATGTACGAAACAATATCGAATATGTCTGACGTTTTATCGAAATTTGATGTGAAACAATTGCCGACGGATAACGAAAAGTTTTTGAACACCGGCAATCAGTACGCAGGAGCAACCGCTGATATGCTGATAGCATTTTACAGCAGATTTGGGTGGCTGTTGAAAGCAACGATGAGCGGACTTGTGATAACAGGTTTCACTTGGTTTATTCTTTACAAGGACAGCAGTATACCTGGTATCAACCCACCATCTCCTTTCAGTCCTTCCAAACAGAGGTAGACTCTTGGTTTCTCTATTTAATTATAGTATTTATTCAATTCAACTACAGTAGTTCCATACAAATATCTTGCTTTAGAGAGTAAAACTTTTGTAAATTTTAGATATGCATCTTTTATTGTACAATGTATAATTGATAAAGATGTATGAAAATCTAAATATAAAAACAAAAATATATATCTTCTATTGCTTATTAATTTATTAGAACAAGTAGATAAATTTTATACTTTTTTATGCTGCTTGAAAAATTGCAAATGTAATGTGATTTATATCTATTAATGTTGTTTATTTCAGGATACATGGCAGTTCAAGAATACAGATAAATTATTTAGTTGGTGCACTAAATGGAATATTATTTTTTATTTACATGTGTCTTTAACACAATGGAAACGTTGTCGATTTTCAAAAGATAGTTCTATTTTTCTCTTTTTCTCTATTTATATAGTATTATTTATTTAATTCACTAATTTATGTCGTCGGTAGCACGTTTATTTATGAGTGATATTTTATATGCGAATAAGGCCTGCTAATGACAAAGTCTTAGTATTTTGTAGCTCTTTTTCTATTAACATATTGCTATATTATTCGATTTCGTAAGTAGTTTTGAGCAAGAATTAAAAGCTCTTTGAGCGAAAACTAAAGTTTCGCGAAAATGCACAGGAATACATTTTCTAAAATGTGAAAAACTTCGAACGAAATCCACTATTAGCACATAAAGAATTTATTCTGCTTCTATGTATATTAATAGGCGTTACTAATGGCACAATGTGCAGTAAGTTATTGAAACCAAGTACTTTGGTTGCGCAGTATGCAACAACCAAAAACGTCAAAGTACAAAACAGATTGTTCCATACCTTCTTCTCCAAATTTTATATAGTTATCTATTGCTACTGTTTAAGACTGATTGATAATCTGAAAGGGCATATTTATTGATAGGCTAAAATAAGTGATGTAAGCTATAGTTAATTTATGTACGCAGAATATATATATATTTTTTGCTTATATAAGAATGAATATAAATAGCAGAAACGTGAGGCTATGAGTAATATTATATTTCATATTCAATGCGTCATTCTGAGTGTTACAAAAATGATGAAGTCTTTCTGGCAGCTAAGAATATACGAAGAAAAACACGTTTCTGAGGACCATTCGCCTATATTTATACTTAAATTCAACAAATATTAGACTTAAATGATGAGTCTATTACAATTTCAATTTTTCAAATATTATGCTCGAAACTACGACTTTTAATTATAAACATTTAAAAAAATTACAAAATACTTTACAAACATTAGGGTGCGCAAAAAGTGATACATTTATTATTATATAGAAGTTACAGTGCGAACTAGAATAAGATAATTTCTAGAGGTTTATCATGCGATAAAAGCCTCGTCCTTTCCGGTTATCGCAGAAATAACGTAACAGAAATACGTTAAAAGAATATTTTATTTTTTAAACGATTAAAACAGGATTTAAAAATAGAAGGGATATTTATAGTTGTGTAAACTGCATTTTATTAATATTATCGCTGTACATGCGACATGTTCTCTCGCGTTCGCGAGAACGAAATGCTATTCAATAAACATTGAATATACATTCGCACTTCATGTATGTTTCTTATCTCATTCAAATGTCCCGCCCGATGGCGACATGTTGGCACACGACGCGACGATGACGCAATCATGCGCAATCGCGAGGGACTTGCGCAAGCATGCGCAAGTTGTAAAGCGAAGACGACGAAACGGTCAGTACGCATTGTGTATATTGTATCGTTTCTGAACTCCAGCGAATTCTTGTCCCATCCACCGATTTTCTGCCATTGTTCTTCGATCTCTTCTCACGATGGCGAATGAGACGTGTTCGTCTGGCGAAGTCATGACTGAAGCTGCGAAAACAGCAAATCAGCTCTACAAGATCCACAACCAGGATGACTTCAGCCGGATCACCAAGGGAATTAAAGTTGCACGGTGCATGCAGTCACCGTCGACTTACGGTGAGTTCAGAACTGAACGTCTTTTGGAATCGTATAACAGACTCAGGAATGCGAGAAACGTATGTTTATTTATTTTCCGCTGAGATCAGAATAAAACTCCGCCTTTAGAGCGAGACGGAGACGAACGTTCAGATTGGGAACAGAAGGTGCAGCTAGGAAGGATAGCTCACATATGTGACGTTTGTCAAGGCACGAAGGACATTGAGCAAGTTCATGTTCTAGAGAAGCGTAACTGTTTCTCTTGAAACAATTACGCTGAGAGTAGATATCATTTAATAATAGTTAATTAAATAAAATGTGTTTATTGTGTACTGTATTATATGTTGTATGCACCTGTTTTTATATTGTCAATTGTCAATAGGAAAAAATTTGTGTAAATATTTACGCTTATTTAAAGCATTAAATTGTATGACCTTTTATCTCTCTCTTGTAGGAGATAATAACAAAAAGGTTATACAATCTAATGCCATATGTTTTTAGATACTGTTTTAAAACAATTATCGGTTTAAAAGCTTCGGATGCAGAATGAAGAAAATGATATTCATAGCTTAAAATGTTTATGTCTCGATTGTTTAAATTTTATTTAAAATTATGAAAACACGTATTTTAAGAATAATATTATGATTTAATATCATTTAACGTATTGTTATAATAAGATTAGTATAATGAGAATTTTTTTCACATTAATATTCTATTTCCTAGAATTCATAATTATATTAAAAAAACATAATACAATAACATCGCTATATGTAGAGTCTAAAGATTACCAGTGAAAACTTTGAGTTCGTGTCTTTAATATAATCAGTTGGATACAATATTAGTCAGGAAATTAAATGACATTGGATCTTTTTGGCCGTTACAAAGATAAAACTTAATTGTACGAATTGATAGAAGTTGAATATTATTTTTTAATGAGATTATCCTAAAAAAACGGCAAGGTCGTTTTTAATTTTTCAATATGCATGAAAAAATAGGAAATAGGCAACAGTTTAGCAAGATTTCACACATAGACTTCACCTCTGCTTTGCAGTACCTGATAGCGAGCAGATAATATGCGAGCTGGTGGTATCCGATTCTTTGTGTTGTTCCTATTGTAATACTGAATTTGAGGACAAGGTGCAACAGAGACTCCACTATAAGCTGGATTGGCATCGTTACAATCTAAAACAACATCTGAATGGTTTGAAGTCAATTAGTGAGGACAATTTCAATAAATTAGCCGGCGAAGGTACAGTCTGAGATGAAGTACATGGCGACTTTAAGACGGTGCAAAAACAGTTAGACATGTGGGAATTTTATAGGCGACATGTCTAGCCTGTCTGGTAGCGAGGTAGAGTCCGAGAACGATGACGATGCTGGTACTTCGGAGACTGGGGTTTCATCTAATGAACAAACCAAGAACGAGTCTTCAAGTAAGACTGGACTTGGCAGGTCCAGAAAGACATCAGAAAGACGCGGGAAAACAATCGAGTCAGACATTTCGGATACGGAGTACAACGAGGAAATGACCAAGGAGCGGAAGTTGCAGGTTGTCGCAAGTCGTCACACCAAGGTGTTTTTCGAGAATGATGATGGCAATATATTTAGTATCTACCGGTGTTTACTGCATCATAAAAAGGTGTGTTTGTTAATATTAGCAGGATTGTCGTCAATTAAAGTGGTGCAAACTTATGCATTATTATTCATTAGTCTATTCTTTTCATGAACTTGTTGCATGTTCATTTTTCCTCCTTTTTTTTCTAATGCAACGTAGAGAAAAAAAGAGAAAAAGTAAACGCTGCAAAAAGTTTAGCTAAAAAGAACAAGTCTACTGTTACGTATGCTTGGAAGATATATGCTTGCACACGAAGTATCATTTTGAAAATTGATTACTTTGTTAGAGTCGCTTGGCGTGCTCTGTACTTGCCAGATCGGGAGATATGCAATTACGTTTTAGGACATTCCCGAAAAAGACACTGAGATGATCGCTCAGGCACTGGACAGCGGCAGAAAGTCCAAATGGACGGTCATCATGGTCGGTGGTGGACACTTCGCCGCGGCAGTATTTCAGGGTACGCATTGTTCTTAAGAATATTTTGATGATGTGCACAATTGTTATATTCACCCGTTTTGGTGTGTATCACAGATGGTGAGCCTATCGTGCACAAGACCTTTCATTCTTATACCGTGCGAGCAAAGCAAGGCTTCGCTCAAAATTCTCGTACAAATGGTAATCACGCGAAAAGCGCTGGTGCCAGTTTGCGAAGATATAACGAAGCATCGCTTATTCAGGTACATTCTGTTTACATATCTCGCTAGAGATTAATGAGTTATTTAATAGCCAATTAAACAAGTTGCAAGCTGATGTAACGATTCTAGCATGTACAAGAGATATTGGACTCATGGTCGATGCACATCAACAATTCAGCAGCTATTTTATACCGAGCGGTCGGTCCACACAATCGTACGGTGCTCTTCGGTGGCAAGAATCCACCTTTAGATAAGAACGATTTTAGAATAAGACCACTGCCATTCCCTACTCGAAGAGCAACGTTTAGAGAAGTCAAGAGGGTATATGATATTTTGAGCACCATGGAGATTTATGGTAAATAATAATAATAATAATAAGATAGTTTCACAATTTCAATTTAACTTATATTCAATTTGTATCGAACAATTCATTTTTGTACCTATTTTAGGCTCTGCGGCGAATTTCACGGACTGTTTCCCCAACTCTCCGCGACAGCCCGTACGGAAGAAGGTCTCGAAACCGGAGATCATGAGCGAGATACCTGAAGGAGAAGTTGCTACGGAGTACAATTCTAATGCCGGTAATCTTAGTAGTCCGCAGGATAACGTTAAGACACCTGCGCAATCTACTCCAGAGAAGCAACACCGGAATTCTCGTCCGCACATAGATAGGGCGAAACCGAGGAAAAGTCCGAATCGACCACTGCCAGGTTCATATCATTAATTTGAAATATGAGTAATTAAGATTCTCTACTTTTTTAATTAGGATCCTCCACCAGACATGTTGTGATTATTATTAAAAATAATATTTGCATAAAATTATGTTTATATTACTCCACATATATTTGTATGTTAGATTAAAAAGAAAGATTTACTATTTTACAGATATAATTGTTAAATTAGCTCAATCGTCCTCTGAATCCGAAATGGATCCAAATTTTCCAATAGACGTTCTTTTAACTGAAGAAAATTTTGAGGTGTCATTTAGGGCGAATTTACAACCGTTTCAAGATACTGTGCCGAGATACATGAAAAACAAGAAAGCTCATAGACAGAAAAAGAAAGTCAAGAAAGACAGTAAGTCTTACATTTTTTAATAAGTACAGTAGAACTCTGTTTATCAGAGCATATGGAAGACAAGACAGTTCCGAATTCAGGTAATAGAGACTTACTAGTTCCTTCCTCTATAGTATCTACTTATTTGTTTCAATAATTTTGGAACTGACATTCAGATAATTGAACACGTCAAACTCTTATTATTTGAACTACACATCCGTAGTTCGAATAAGAGCTCAAAGTATATTTGGAAGCACGAATTTGTTCATATAAATGGATTGCAGATAAACAAAATTTTTCTGTATATCAAAATTATAATCTTTTTTTTCGAAAACTTGAGAAAATGTTTACAGTTTAAATCAAATAATATAAAGATTTTTATATTAAAATTAAGAGAAAGCGAAAAATGCATTAATACATATTTTCATTTTAGTGTATTATATTACATTATTTTTAGATCAGATGAACAATGAAGTGCTATCGGACGCTAAGATTAAATTATGGATTGCCTGTAAGCGGGGCGATAATGATCTGTTATCGTCGGTTATTGATACCTTGTTAGCCAAAATTAAGGAGTGCGAAGAGGAACAAAACAAGAAAGACGTCATAGATAGTTGCGTTATGTCTAACAATATTCTCGTGAGCACAAATGACGTGACGAAATTGGTTAATGATACCAATGAGGATGGCAATACAATGCTGCATTTGGCGGCACTTGGTGGACATTGCGAGCAAGTATGGTGCGTACATATTATTATTATTATTGAATAAATTTTATATTTTTAACGAAATCTTGAGTTATGTAATTTGATTTGTTGATAGGTTGCTGCTAAAAATCGGATCTGACCCTTGCAATAAGAATAAAAAACTGCAGACACCATATGCTGCTGCAAACGATAAAAAAACTAGAAATACGTTTAGAAGATTTATGGAAGCTAACCCGGACAAGTTCAATTATCAAAAAGTATTGTTTACAATAGAACGTTACATTAATATATCTACTTAAAAAATAATTTTTATAAATTTTTACATATGTATGCTTAACAGTCTCAAATACCTGGGCCGCTCTCTGATGAGATAGAACAAGCAGAAACGGAAAAGAAAAGACAGCAGCGTAAGTTGAAACGCTTTAAGGAGAAAGTTAAAAGGAAGGAATTCGAATTAAAGAAGCAGGAGGAAAACGAGAAGCAAAAGTTCCTTAATCTCAGCGATAAAGAAAAGGTTAAGCATGTTATAGGAAGTATTGAAAATGTATTTTGTTAATAGTTTAAACTTTGTTCTTTCATTGGAATATCTAATTGGTTTATCTAATTTGTTTCTTTCTCTTCGTCTTGTAGAGAGCTTTGATCGTACAGAATCGGATGTTGAGTGAAGGATACACTGTGATGTCGCGATGCTTCCAATGCGCCATCGATATGACTGATAAGGTGCCTTTCGAATATAACGCCAATCGTTTCTGTTCAATGCCATGTCTCAAAGAGCACCGTCTTCACAATAAATATGTTATCTGATGGTGCATTATGTCTAGCTAGGAAAACTTTTATGCCAATTACTCATTTGCAATCGTGATTACGAGAGGCTGCATTTACAGTCAAGTTACAGTCAACCCCAGATAGCATACGAACATTCTATAAATATTTATTAAGAACATTTTTACATTCTGTAGATGTATTAAAAATACTGCAAATATTAATAGTATGTTCAAATATTAATAGTATATTCTAGTGATACTGTTCTGAACACATAAAATATTTTATACAATGTTCTATATTCTACATATTTTCATATATGTCTGCCTAATCTTATGCATATGATAAGGTTCCCAGACAACATTAAGACATCTTAAAGACATCTGAAAATCATACTTTAAGACATCTTAAATAATCTCCTGTAATTATCACAGTCATATTAAAATTGTGATGTTAGAAACGAGAAATGGCACGTTAATTTTTGTTGTGTGTAAATAAAGACAATTTGAATAAAACAAAATGATGAGATCGCGTTAAAACATTTGTAAAAATGGACAAAAACTGCTTATTTCTTCTGATAGTAAATAATTGTAAAAAAATGATAAAAGGTACGTGTAAGTAAAAATAGGCATTGAATAAAAATATTTATTACTTTTTACGAGTTCAAATTATTTTTATTTACAAATAGCATGTCATAAAAATTAACGTGTCATTTCTGATATCATGGTTTCAATATGGCTGTGATGATTACTTAGAAGCCTTAAAGTCATATTTTAAGACATCTTAAAATGATCATAAAGATGTCTTTAAGATGTGTTATGATCCACTTTATGTCTTTAGGGAATTTTTTAGACGCTCTATATCTAGCAGGAATCTATTAGCTTGGTAGACTAATGTTTTTTTTTTTTAAGAATAAAACGTATTGTGTTTTTTCTTAAATATGTTTTTAATACTTCAAATATGCAAGTACTTTAAACAGTACTATAAAAAAAACATATTAAAAACATCAATTAAGCATGTTTTAAATTGTTTAAAACACATTTAAAACATGTTTTTTACCAACTTTGATATTTATCTATATAAATTATGATTCTTTTAGGTGTCTTATAAAAGACATTTGCAATCTCCTTTAGACATCTTTAAGATGTTATAATGTTCTCTGAGAAATAATTTATTTACGCCTTGCACCAACATTACTTTGACTTTTTTTTTTTAATGCCGTGAGAAAGAGTTTAGTTAATGCCGAGAGATACAGTAATTTTAAACCTTGTTCAAAATCAAAGTAACATTGATACAATCTTAGATATAAATTTTAGAATTTTAGATTATATCAGCCGTGTCGATATTTATACTGCCAGTATTGAAAATCTATAACTATTTGTAACATTAACTATAGATTTTAAGAAATCTATAATTTATGTTATATATATATACACCATAGATTTTCAGTATTGACAGTGTATATCATAATATGGTCATTATTTGTTTAATGTATATAATAATTTTTTTATATGGTACATATATATTTTCTTTGTCATATCAATGTACAATTTATATATACACATATACAATTATTGCATAAACGTTTATTAAGACATTTAATTCTACGGTCTAAATTATCTCTATTGTCCATAGCTATTTAACGTAATATTGTATTGTGTATATACTTTTTAATTACATATAAACAATGTATAAAAAAAAACATTAACGAGATAAATTTTAAAATCACATTCTACAACGGATACATTGCGTTTAGCAGGCTCAACAGTTGAGGAAGTTCTTGCTGCTATTGATGTATTCTTCTAGATCTAAAATTCTGATTGATCTAAAAGAATACAATAACAGCGAGCGCTCATTCAACTGTTGAGTCTACTGGATGCTTTTAGCTTCAATTGATTTGCTTCTCCTTTTGCATTAAGCCGAGAATATACCTGCAAATTATAATATTTATAAAGCATTGAGATTTCTTGTTGCTATATATATTTTAAGTGCAATACTTACCTAATGGTTTTCTGGAAATGTTTTTCCTCGAGATTCAGCTGAGGATTTGCTAAGCGTAATAATATATCACACGCTATTGTATAGTAAAGCAGTGCTCTATACTATAGTGCCTGGTATATTATATCTTAATACCTGATATACTACTGTACTATCAAGTATCAGTTTTAACCTTGCTGAACAAGATCAGGCCCAGACATATATAGAAATACTTAGAATTCTTTTACTCAAAATAAAGTTTTGAAATGCGACGAACATTCTATAAGTGTTCTTTTTATTACGAATATGAATTTAACTAAATACATATTCTATGTATGTGTAGGATATTCGATTAAAATATTCTGAACATGTGTATTTTATAAGAATATTTTATAGAATATTTTGTGCTATCTGGGATTGTACATTGATAAGTACCGAATTCTACGACTTGTAGAATTTACGTCTTGTAATAATTTCACTATAGAAAGGAATTTTGATGATGTCATTGTGTTTTTCTTTGGAATATTCTTTTATAATAAAGCATGATGATTTTCAGAAAATTATTAAGAACGCGAGCATTTCTTGATTTTAATAAACTCAAAGAAACTGGACTGTAAGAAAATTATGACAAAGAATTTTGATATGTAAATAGCGATGTAAAGAGATGAATGATAAGATCGAAGGATTTAAAGAATTTCTTTCGGGCTACAATGGATTATATATTTTGATCTATATATAATCGGATGTACACAGAGGGCACGTTTTTTACAAGGTATAATGTATTATTCTATACATATTTCGACTAATATTTGACATCTTTACTCGTGTATTAAATGCCATACATATAGTATATAGGAGTAAAATGACATACTGCTAAAAGAAATAATAACTACTCAACGTTCACATATACATTCGCGTTCGAAATATTCGCGGAAAGATTACGCATGTATACATACAGGATGCTTAAGTATAATTTATTTCTAATATTTTTCTTGAAACTGAGAGAAAGATATTGCCAAGAAATTAGAAAAAATAATATCAAACAAGAAAAGTTAACATTTCAATAAATTATGGCCAGTATTCATAATTCTTATAGGTATTTAAGACTGTCTTAGGTACAATCTTAAGATGTCATGAACCAATGAAATGGTATTAGCATCTTGAGTCATTACTTAAGATTATCTTGAAATAAAAATGGACTATGAATGCGCCGGGAACCTATGAGTATATTATATAAATATATAAGAAAATTCAAGACTTAACATATTAAAATAATTTTTTCTATAAAAAAATTTTTTGACTAATTTGTAAATGATGTGCGACAAACGGGATTAATGAAAAATAAAAGTCAGAAACTTACAAATTAGAAACTTTAAGAAAAGTTATTAGAAACTTTAATTAATGAAATCGTTTAAAGAAGTTAGAGCTTTATGGGTTGCTAATTAATATTTAATTATTAACTTAGAAATAACATAATTAATGAGAACAACATAATTAGTCGGATAATTACTCGGATAAAAAAATCATGAATATCAGAAAAATATTCTATCCTTCTATTAATTATTAATTAAATCTGTAGAGATGATTTTATCAAAGGCACCCTATACATATCCGATTGATCGTAAAATCGTATTAATGATTAGTATCATCAAAAACGAACATTCGCGCATGTTGTATATTATCCTAAAAAATTGATTTCATGATTAACAGTACGACGTAATCCCAGAGATTCGACGGTTTTTGCAAGCGAAAAATATCTCCGATGAGAAATGAAAAGTACGTTGAAGAACATCAAATGATTTCACAGATTCAACTGTAACGATCCAACAGTCGACATCCAGCAGTATATTATAACTCTCCATTGATGTATGTACAAGGTAACTGTCTTTACACTTAGTCCCTACAAGCTTGATAAAAATAGTGCACAAAATACACATTTTGTGCAGAACGATCGAACGATCTTACGCGATTGTTTGAAAATTCGATTGGAACGGACGTGGATCGAAAACCCGAAATCTAACTTTGACGAGGAATGAGAAGAAAATTTTTCGACATCGCGAGTCTCTTCGATCGCCCTATATATATCTTTCCTGGCTTCTCTTTTGAACATTCGAGATATATACAAAGCAAAAATTATTTCGGAATCGTGAAAGTTGTGAAGCATATATCTGAGTATCATTTAGGCTGAACGCATGCGGAGTATCGCGTGTATTGTGGTCCTCTGTTCGTGCAAAAATAGGTGTTCTGCATTCGGTTTTTTACTTCTGGTTCCGATCCCGTCAGATGAAACGTCGAGCAGCTCATTTAAGTACAAAATATCTTTGTTCGAGATCATCTTTTATGTTTTCTTTGCATCAATCTTCCTTTCTCGTGTCTGCCTTGATCGCGGTATACGGTCTGACTTATACTACTCTTGTTTCACTGATTTGAAATGATATGCAGTGTACATCTCTTTTCAGTGTCTAACATAGCAGTGTAAATTTAAACTGGAAAATTTTCGTCGTACCAAAATTTTGCAACGATAATATTTTGATTCAAGATTTCTCATTAAGATTTCGTATTCTCATTTATATGGAAATTTTCAAATCGAAAATTTAAGAGTTCGTAAAATAATGGAGGATTTTTCTTCTAGAATTTTTTGAATTTTTGTTGAGTATATTTGTTGAATAATTAATTATTCAAACAAATTGATATTAAATGATGATATTTAATTAGTTGTATTAATTGATATATCTGTGAAAATGATAATGGCCAATGTATTATTAATCTTGTGGTGACCGAAACATCCGTTTAAAATTTTAAAACCTGAATCAGTTTAATCATTCCGATTATTATTAATGTAAATTTTTACAACGACTTTAAACTGCCATTGAAATTTTTTTAAATAGTAAAAGTACATTGTTTGTATGTTGTTTGTATGTTGTTTATATGTCTGTATGTTTGTAATATATTTTCCGCTTTTTCCGAGATTGGTTCATCAAAATAATTGAATTCTCTTCGAATTTTCTTCAAGATCTAAATCGTAAAGCTTAGCAACAGCAATCAAAGCGATCTTATGAACCAGATTTCATTTCATATAATAACATGTGACGTCACCTCTCTTCGTTTAGATCGATGTGGAATCATCCGTATCGGTGTCGTCACCGTAGAGACCCTTGCCATCAGTTTTCGTCCACGAGGTCGCGGTAGTTTCCACGCCAACCTCGTATCTATTCTCCTGTTGGGCACTATTGGATGGCACGATCCTCACGTAGGTCTCCCTCACGCCCTTCTGCTCCGTAATGTCCTTAGTCCTCTCCTCGCAGCTGGCGGACTTGGAACGCATTTTCTCCTCTGGCTTCTTCGTCATCGTCTCGATCGACTCCAGCGAGCTCTTTCTGCGGCTGCTCCTGCGATTCGATCTGATGATCTGCTGATTGGCGGTGGCAGAAGGCTTTCTACCCACCTTCGGAGAATTCTCATTCTCCAGATATTTCCGGATCCACTTGGGCGTCTCACTCGAGTATGCCTGCGCCTTCTTCGCGTACTTGCCGGGTGTGCTCGGCAAGATCATCGGTATCTCCGTCTCGATCACCGTTGTGATCACCTGCTCGTTCTCGTCGAAATTGCTCTCCAGGAACTTGCGCTTCGGCGTGCCTCCCACGCTTAGCTTGCCGAGCGTCGAGACGCTGCCGCTCTCGTCGCTGCCGGGCGTCTCGTACGTGTACGAATAATGCCGCTGAATGTGCTTCGGCTCCTTTTCCTGTTGTTGTTGCTGATCCTGTTCCTTATCTTCTTGCTCCTTATTTTCGCTCGTCTCCTGGTTCCGTCTATTCTCTTCTTTCTCGATTCTCTTCAACTTCTCGAGTGCGTCATCGATCGAGTATCGCGGTGATTTCCTGCCGCTGGTGCTGAACTCTGGCAACTTTACCGGTGACAATAACGATTGCCTCAAGTTGCCGGCGATACTGTGCCGTTGTCGGACAGGTGGATCCAGTAGCCGGCGTAAGCTTGAGTTTCTGATCTCCGGCACCGACATCCTCTCCCGCATCGGAATCGGCGGTGGCTTACCACCGCGCCCAGTCTTTCCGAATGGAATGATTTCTGATTTGGGTGGCGACGGTGACTTTGACGGTTTTCTGCCTGTGAATGGGAAATCCGGCGCGAGGAATCGTCTTTCACCGGGTGGAAAGATTGGGGACGTGCTCGCGACAATAACGCTCTGCAGACCTTCGCAGGTAGGACTCTTCAGTCTGTCAGACGTCAATCCCATGAGCTCCTCGGTCTTCATTTGCTGATGCTCGAAAATCGGTGAACTGGCGATTGGTAGCAGTCGCGACTTACAGCTGTCTTGACTGTCTAGACTGAAACGCTGCTTCGTCAGCTGACTGTCCAGGCTGAAGCGTTGCTTGGGCGTGCCGGCGATCAGTCGCAAGTCGTTCTGCGTCTCCAATTCCGGTATCGAGAATCGATCGCGATTAAACTTCACTTGCGCGGCATTGCCGCCCAGATCTTTGATATTTCGATACTTAGCTCCGATGTCCAGCTGCGAGAGACGATCGCGCTGACTTACCTGCAGAATGGCAGGTCCGAATCTCTTATGTTTAAGAGGAAAAGGTGGCGGTGAGGGTGAATGCATTCCGATACCGCTGCTGAGACATGGTTGGGACAGTCGCTGTTGCGTCCGACCAGGATAGTAGTCGCCGGTGACGAGAGTGGGCTGTGACAATCGCTCGCGCTTATCATGTCGCAAGGCAAACCGACGGATGTCCGGCTGCGAAAGTCGCGACGAGCTTCGCTCCATCGTCAGACTGCCACGGGGGCTTCCACTGCCACCCAGAGCATGCACGTTTGGTGTCGATAGCCTCTCTTCCTCGTTGATACTGTTGTCGCCCGAAGTAGCACGTAGACTTGTGTAGGATAGACGGCCTCCACCGCTGCCACGGTGCATGCTGAAATTGAACGAATTGATGCCGCTCAGGCTGGAGTTGAGGGTCGGCTGCGACATACGGATGCGACGGTCTGGCGAACCGCCCGATCGCCGGTCGTACGAGATCAGCAGAGTCGGTAGGTTCGGCTGCGAGTAACGACTGCGTTGACTCGCGGGTGAGTAACTCGGTGGACAGGGGGTGGTTGAACGGGTGCATTCGTAGGTGCCCGAGTCCTGGGATTCGATACTGGACTGTGATTGCGGTGGTATCTTGACGGGGGTGATATGCAGATTCGGATGAGACAACCGGTTCTTGCGGCCCTGACCCGGTCGCTTCAGATGGTCGATCAAGTTCGGTTGGGACAGCCGGACGATGCATGGGTTCGGGCGTCGATTCAAGTACCAAAGGTCCCGGCGGGAGTATGGCTCGCATCAGAGGGTACCTTCCTCACGCAGGCGCCGCATGAAGACCGGTCGTACATCCTCGAAGAATGACGGCAGGTCGAGCTCGGCGGCGCGTGCGATACCACCGTCCTTGCACTCCAACCAATACGTGTCCATGAGGCCCTTGCCCTAAGGAAAGAGCAATCAAAATGAAACACATGCTAAAAGAGATTATCCAAAAATTAACGACGAAGAAAAAATAAATTATCCATTAATTGGCATTTTTAATGAGAAAAGGAGGATGGATTGAGGAAAAGTCAATATATCATAATAATTGATTTATATAAAGAATTAAAAATAAAAAAAATTAAGATTTTATAATAAAATTCAAAATCATACAGGTTCTGTAATCTATAAAAGCCAACGCTATTAATTTACAGAAATGTAATACTGGCCAATTTATTACTAAAAAACAGTAATTGATACTTATATTTATTAGAGTAAAAACTATTGAACAACAGTTCTTAATACTTAAAATAAGTATTTATTATCTTTCAGTATTGACGAATACTAGATTTCTGTAAAAGAGTATTTGTGCGTAAATTATTGTGCGTATTTACAATAATATATATGGTACATTAATCAATCAACCGCATATATGATTGTCGTCATGATGCATTTTATTAACTAATGCATATTAATTATTGTAAATATACACAATAATTTACGCACAAATAACTGCGTTGGATTTTATATATTTTCCTTTGTTATAAATAAAGAATTAAAATATACCTTTACATCGACAAGGCCACGGTGTTCGATCTTGAAACCGCCCACCGCGTCAAGAGCTTTTTTCATCTCTAAGCTGATGTGAATTCGCAGAGCTTTAATGAAACAGCAAAAAGAATTAATCAATATATTGAAATATGGAAAGAATAAATACATTAAGTGGAAGATATGCTGAAATCGATGTGAAGAAAATGAAAAATGCGAAGAATTATTTTTCCATTGATAGTTAATTTTAGTTATTTATACCTTCACCAGTCGATTCCATGCGACTTGCGGTGTTTACGGTGTCGCCAAAGAGACAGTAACGAGGCATCTTACTGCCAACGATACCGGCCACGACAGGTCCAGTATGGGCTCCGCTTCTTATTTGCAACCGTTCGCCAGGACGTTTGGGCACCTGGAATACGGACGAAGCCGCCAGCAAGTCTAATGCCATTGTGGCGATCTCAGACACATGCTTATCACCTGAGAAAGACACGAAATCGCGAGTGAAGAGATGTATTAAGGAACGAAATCCGAAAAAACAGCAAACATTGAAGTGTAGAATGCAAGAAATTTAGTTAATAAGATGTTAGTAATTAGCTTATAAATTGCTGACAAATTTGATCGAAAATTTCAGCAAATTGTCATCAATGACTACATATTAAATTTCATATGTTTTGCCGAAAGCTTACTGATATAATTATCAGGAAATTGTCGGCAAAAATCAAGCAAAGATCTGATTTTACCGTCAATTTGCTGTCAAATGTCAACTACGGTTTTGTCGATAATTTGTTCTCAGCAAGATATAACAGAATTTGTATCAAATTTGGTGTCTTTTTGTCGATAAAATTTGTAGCAAGCATTTAACAAAATTTATTTTCAACAGATTTGGCTGACTGGAAAGAAAACATTTATATTTTATTCATTCAAAAACTAAGGAATTTATGTGCACAAAGAATTCGAGAAAAGGAAGTGCCCATCACTGTTCCAATATCGCATGCTTCAAGACAACATGCAGAGCTGGGGGATGTTTCGTACTTTTACCATTTCTAACGGGCAGACCAGAAGCGACCATGTAGGAGTCCCCGATAGTCTCTACTTTGTAGACATCATAGCACTCGATGCGAGCATCGAACAGCTTATAGATCGAATTGAGGAACGTCACCACCTGAAAGGAACGCGGATACTCGTTACTGTCTTTCACTGATTTTCTATAAAAATGGGAAACTAAGGTCGATATTCATAGTCTGTTCTTATTTTAACCGTCTCAAATAATATCTTAACAGCTCTGATTGGCTTATGATATCCTAAGACGATCTTAAATATAAGAATTAATTATGAATTGCATCCTAAATGATTTAATTTAATTGCAGATAAAATTAAAGAAATGATACAAGCATCAAAGACAAACAATGAAAGTAATGATACCGAAGGATCCGTGAAGTATCTAATTTATTCCAATCACGTCAAAACGGATCACGAAAATGTACTTAAGACTTCTTTCTTGAGATATATATATATATATATACACACACACACAATATATATATAATGATACAATGAGATGAGAGTGATACATAGGATGATAGACGATCAGTTGCGTTCGATTCGGATAATCCTTGCGTGTCCAGCGGGAATTTGTATGGTATGCGCGCAATTTCATCACTGCAGTAATGAGCAGGAGCATTGCACGATGAAACTTTCGGGTAATTTGGAAACTCGGGATCGATCAGTAATTTCCCATTGGAACAGAAATGGATGAGGACGCACCTCGAGGGGCGTGTTTTCCGCGGCGATCTCCGTAAAACCGACTATGTCGCTGAAGTAGACGGTCACCGCTTCGTAATACTCCGCCGGTACCTGATGGGCGAAAAAAATTTATGAATCCACCGATCGAGGCAGACAAATGGATTACAGGTAACAAAAAAAAAATGTATTATTCCTCACGATCAATCATTTAGAAAAAGTGTCACTCGGGACAAAAGTTTAAATTGAAAGAGCATTTAATGATACTGCTGAGTTTGAGGATTATAAAAAATTTTCAATTTCAAACACTTATTTGCTCGAAGATTACGATATCTTCGAGAAAATTGAAATTCTATATTAATTTGGATTGACCTGCTGAGTTTGCTTGAGTTGTTGGGCAACGCTGGGTGGAAGCATTTGGAAGAGCAATGTGTCGCTCTTCCTCTTTTCGCGTTTGAGCTCGCGTGCCTTCTGAGCTAAATTCGCGGCGTACATCTGTAATTAGTAAATCAAACGTATTATAATAAACGGTTTAAGATTTATAGTAGTGTTACACAGGTAAAGATAATCTTTAAGATTAATAATACATATAAACAAATTTTTTTAATGTGAAAAAATTAAAAAGTACATCAGAACTTTAAAAATGAAACTGATTACATATATAAGATGGAAAGAAATGAATTAATATTGCTAATATTGCTAATATGCTCTAATATTGCGAAAAAAGATTTGATTTTTATAGAAAATATGCGTATTTTTCGCGAAGAACTAATCATTAATAACAATTGGTGATTGACGTCTTAATATTGCTTATTAATTTCTTCTATAAATAGAACGAAAGCTATATGAGCGATAAAAACGCTTTTTGTTCAAAGACTGAAACTTCTCTCATCGCGACCTAGACTTCAACAACTGGTTTTCCATTGAGACGTCAGTCACGCGACGCTCGACGTTTATTTGTCGTCGATCTCGTGGTCTCGAGAGCTTGGAATCGAGTTATGGGATTTGTCACGATGCAAAGTAATTAACGCGCGGTCGCGAAAATTTTTCATGGCTTTTCTTGTGGATTCTGCATCCAGGCAAAATGTTAACATACGATCAATCGAAAAGGACCGTGTTGTCGTTAATTAAAATTTAATTTAGATGTACAATAATAAAAAGAATTTAATTAAACATTAAATTTTTTCATTTATCTTTAGTAAGTAAATAAAGAAGACATCAGTGTTAGAAGAAGTAATTTTATTTATCGATAACAGTGCGCAATCCCTTTTCTGCGCTGACTCTCATTAGTTTTGAAATCTATTTCTTATTATTATTTTAAATATAGGGAGCCCGTTTTAATCATTATATTCTTACACAGTAAAAAGTATTTTATATTTGTGTTAAAATCGGCCCATTCAAATACTTTTTAAAACTTTGTGTTAAATTTTTAACATATCCGAATGTTAATTTAATATAATATGATTGTTATTTGCATATTTTGTGTGTTAAATTAATATTATATATTTCTTATTAAAAATAGTACAGTTTATAAGTAAACAAATACACACAACATAAAAATAATATATCTTCAAACACATAAATTCTAAGATAAATGAATAAAATACATAATTTAACATATCATAAATGTTAATTTTACTAAAAAAATATGCTTCTGTGGTTTGCTTACAAATTATGTCAATACATGTTACATTTTGGTGTTAATTTTTTTATATATTTTATATATTTTTTATATATTTCATTTTTTATATATTTTTTATATATATCATTTTATATATATTTTTTATATATTTATATATTTGGTGTTAATTTATTTATATATTTTATATATTTTTTTTATATATTACTTTTTAATAGATTTATCTTGTGTTAAATTAACATAAAAATTTGAGTGAACATAAATGTAACACAAATTTTCCAGCTGTATAGATCGAGAAAAACAATTCTATTTGATCTTTATCTTAGATAATTCGGAAATTATTGCTCAGGTATTTTAAGATATGTACTCTCGAAATAATGACTTAAACTCTAGTTTAATGAAAGAATAATTAGATTCTAAATTTTGGCAAAAAATTTGGGATGAAAATTAAAGTCTGCGTTACGTTCTGTATACAAATCACTGTAAGCGTCACGTATGAAAGAGTCACATGTATAAGCATGAAAGGAAATCAAATCGACGACTTTGAATCGGCGAGCGCGAACCTGAATGGTGGCGACAGCATTGCGCATCAGTATGATGATGATGGGGGATACTACCAGGACCAGAACGACGATAGCGATCCCCGCGACTTCTTTGTTGCTCGCATCTTGTAATGTCGAATTGACGTAATCCCTGACAAAAATCGCACGATGATCAATGTACTTTGTACTCTCTTTGTAGATAATATAATATAAAAATAATTAAAAATTACAAAACATTAACAATAAATATTGTAAAACATCAATGAGTACAACCTATTCGGTATCAAATGATGTGAGTAGATTTACTAAATTTTATTGAGATAGAAATAAAATGTTGAAAAATTCTACTTTGTTGATAGAAAGAGAGGAACCTTGACTGATTTGCAACTTATTACATTTCAACTTATTAAAATTCAAATCTAGAGCTTTAGCAAAATCGTTTTTGATTGAAATACAAGAGTTATGTCCATTTCTACCAATGTAGATTAACTTTAATCTCGGTTCAACTTTTCATCTTTTTCTTATTCTTAAAACTAGAAAAAGATAAAGAATTAATTGAACTGAGATTAAAGTTAAATGCATTAGTAGAAACTGGGCATTAGCGGAATTACTAAATTTTATTGATGATTGACAGAAATAAAAAATTGAGAAAATTTATTATTAAAATGTTAATTTGATATACTGTAATATATTAAAGCCCAATTAAATAAATTTATTCAAGTGTGACTAATTGTTAGATATTCTTCGTCTTCGAAATAAATTGATTAATCGCGCGTTGAGTAATTTGTAAGAAGAGAGGTTTCGCTTGGAAATTATCCCATTTCGCCGAACAAGAGATCGATATTTTCCTAATAATGGTAGCAATTAGCGAATATCCGATGTCTGACATAGATAGATCCGGATGGGTCTTCCGTTTCATGAGTCTTGTCAAGAGAGAGGTCGGGACAAAGAGACAATTCCATTATGAAGATTCGCTACCTTATCATGTGACGCAATTCCCGCTGCAGCTTACGCAGTTCGTCGATGTAAGTGGCCATTGAATCAAAGTAAGCGATTGCGTCGTCTACGCTCGATTCTCTTCTTTGATTCCGTAGAATCTCGTTCCGTCTGAGGAGTGAATGCAAAACGTTTGTCCTGTCCGCCTACTCTTACGCCATAATTTATCATTGGCCTGTTACGCTGTCGACGCTCATAAAGGCGCCTTTACGAAACACTTTCTCTAAATTATCAAATTATGGAGTAATCTACATTTTCTCACGAGAATACAGAGAATAATTTATAAGTACGCTCACGTAAAGTGTATGTTCAATTTTTCAAAATTGTAATTAAAGTACGACGTATCCATCTTTCATCTTTTAATCATCGTGCATCGAATATCCTCGTATAACAATTTTACTAAAAGATCTAAAATTTTATTACAGATACAAATTTGAAAATATATCTAATTGTGGAACCATCAAAATCAAAGATTACTAAGAATATCAAAATTTTTTACAAGTCATTATTTTTTATTTTTTGAGTTTCCAACAAAATTATTATTTTCAGATCTGTATTCAGCAAAATTAAATATTGGCCTCGTTCATATCTTTCGGTAAAATTGTATCAAAGTATCAAGAACAAATTCTATTTTCTTATTATGTCGCAATATGTTCGAGCAATTTTCTTCCCTCCGTCTAGATATATTATGAAAGATACGAACGAGATCAGTAACTTTTTTTCATATGAGACTTTTCCGCGTTATGCCGATCACGGGACGCGGAGGTGAAGTGCGAGAGACGTTTTACCTTGCCTTGATCTTGTCATACTCGGGCATGGTGCGCGTGAGTTCGCTGTAAAACTTCCTCAGGGAGGGCACATATGTCAGGGCAGCGTTCAGAAGGTCACGGCCCAGTGCTTCGTGGCGAACGTAATTGATGTAGTTGTCACCGAAAAGGAGACCTCGGCCGAAGTAATTGATTCCCTCCACCGAGGCTATACCGAGGCTCTCGATGCTCCGCAGGAGATTCTTGAAGGCTATTAGATACCTGAAATGGAAAAGTCTCGTATATTCGTACGGATTTTTATGTTTTTCTACCAAGAGATCCAGAATTAGGCGGTAGCACAGAGTCTTGCATAATGTATAACGCATAATGCATAAGAAAATGAATCAATCAAAGTCCTTCATGTCCTTTCTTTTCATAAAAAGACTCTGATTTGTTGATTTTCTTATGCTTTATGCATTATGCGTTATGCAATGATCTGTGCTCCAGCTTTTATTGTCTCCATTGTTCCCCAATCTTTCAGGAGGATATTACGATAATAATATGCGTTACCTCCATACCCCGCTGTTATCCGTCTCCTTAATCTGATTAGTCAGATGGTCCAGCATAGCGGCGTTCACGCTCGTGTACCACGCCATTACCTCAGAAATACTGCTCTCTTCTGAACTTATCTTTTGCCTGCGGGAAATAAATAAACTTTGCGTTCAACTCAATTGTCGCTTGCATCAGTTATCTCTCAAATGTATATAAAATGTAATTGAAGGAGAGTGGAAGAATTGCTAACATAAAGTAAACGCGAACGATATTATTGTAATATATTAGTCATAACATCTCATTTCTCGCATCTAATCATAGTCTAATATACGATTATATACTGGAAAAAGAGTCTGGTTGCATTAATTAAAATTCTGATTGAAAATAGATAAGTCAGAATTTTTCAGTTGAATCTATTATAATTTTAATTGAGAATAATCAAAATTTTGAATTATCAGAATCTTTTGATTCATTCATTATCAATTAAAAATTTTTCTCAGTGTAATGCTACATTATCATGTGACCATAGAAATGTTTAAAATAAATATTAGGTACATGTTTTCGATCAGCAGAGGGAGATTTTAATTTTGGGGAGAATGTGAGTGGAGGAACACTAAGAGAAAATCGATAATTATTTATAATTATAAAAATTATAAAAATTTTTATTTAAAAGATATATTGGTTTTAAAAATTGAGAAATATTCGTCTGCAATATTTAATTTTTTTCTTAGATGTTTGCAATTCCCAGTCTCTAGCTATATATGTAAAAAGATAATCTTCAAATATTGATCTCATTGAGGAGACAAGTTGTTACTAACGTAGTAGGCAATACGAATATAATTGCATCGTGCATCGCAATGATCTGATTGATCATAATCTCATCTCGGTCTCATCTTACAAGGCCTGAATATAATACTCGAAATTATAATATTTGAAATTATGATATTTGACTTGACATTCGTCGAACTGTTTCTTTCACTGTAACTCCTTTTCAGAGAGAGAATTTTGATATTATTATAAATTATATTAAGAAATAAAAGGAAGACTTGGCAACTGTACATAGACTCATATGTTTTTAACAAACGACGAGCAATCTTTACTTATATCTTGATTTCAATATTCATCGCGACGCCTTTTTGCTTGTCGCCTTCGTCTGGAGACGATTTCGCTCCCATTCGAGAGGTGACGATCTAAAAAAAGACCGCGTGCAATCCTTCGGACAGGTATGAGCCGCCTTGGATTTGCACGTGGCGGGATGTCGGTCGATAATGACATCGGCGGGGTAGACCTTCGCATTTGTTGCGATGAGTTTGATCGGTGTGTAATGTTACACGTCGACGAGACGAGATTTACACGTAGACAGATGACGAGAGAAAGGAAAAGGGAGAAATAGATAAACTGAAACAGAGAGAAAGGGAGAGAGAGAGAGAGAGAGAGAAAGAGACAAAGAGAAGAGAGAAAGAAGGGGAGAGAGAGAGAGAGAGAGAGAGAGGCGGAGAAGATATATAAAAAAGAGAGAAAGTCAGAGTCAGCAGGGGAGAGAGAGAAAGACAGGATCTAAAAATACTATCTATTGCTCCAAATGGGCGTTCGCGCGCTCATGTGTGACGACCTCTTCCATTCCTCATAAAGAGAAGAAGCGCGAGAGTGGGAGAGGGAAGAAGGAAGAGAGAGGGAGAGGGGGAGAGAGAGAGAGAGAGAAAAGAGAGCGAGAGAGAGAGCGAGAGCGATAGCGAGAAGTACGAAAGTAAGAGGAGCAATAATACAGAGAGAAAGACAGACAACTTTATTGTAAGAACAGAGAAGAGATAGACAGCTTTATTGCGTTTTTCTGAGATTGACTACTCCTGTGTGCAAAGAAGGAAGATGTATAAGAATAATCGCAGCGCGAACGTGACATGACAGAAGCGTACACGAGTAATAACGCAGCGAGTAGACGGTTAAACAAATTCAATTGTCGATGTGCTCAATTGTAAAACGAGCGTGTTGAGAAGAAAGAGACGGAGAATCGAAGAGGAACTGAAGAAAAAAGCGAGCGGATATTTGAAGGGAGGGAAGATGAGACAGGATAAAAAAAAGCTTGATGCTTTATTGCGCACTCCGGAATAACATTTTCTAAAAGCATTGAGTAAAGGAACGTAAACCGCGAATGAGATAGTAACAAAAAGAAAACATAAATGAGATGACTGATGTATCGGCGATACTGCCCTGACAGTGAATGGAGTGAGAAGTATGGAGTCTGCGAAATATAAAGGTGAGAAAATATTTTATCTGCGGTGATTAAATTTCTTAAGAATAAAAAATGAATAACAGAAGGGCTAAAATTCCAATTTTTTGTATATTTAAATTCTTAAAAACACATATGTGTGTTTATTATTATTGAGCCATTATAAGTTTATCTTTATTTCTTAAGAATGTTAAAGATAGGAATACGTAAAATAATAAACGGAATTAATAATAACGGAAGTATATAATTATAACGGACAAAGAAATCGATAAATGTGTGTATCTTTATATATCAGAATCAAAGATTCAAGAAAGAAAGAGAGAGAAAGAAAGAGAAAGGAAAAGAGAAACTGAATACTCCCGTTATTGAACGAATGAATGCAGCATATTTCAGATGAAGGTCTCTCTTAACTGTCATAAGACAAAAATTCCACAAGCAGCGCGAAAATAAGAAGGAAGTTCGTAGGAATCCGTTACGGCTTTATCGATCGGCTCGCAGAATCTCCGCCCTTTTCCCGCAGGCTTCACTGAGAAAACCGAAGGATTGTTAGTGTCTTGTTACCTATCGGTCGTATCGGGGGATGACACAAATGCGCCGTAACTGTTTTCCGTATGCGTGGTCGTATGATAACCGCCGCGGGTCCTTCTACCTTATTTCTGCTTCCGTTGCCTATTCGATTCGCGAAGATACATATTCCTCAATGCCGATGAAAATTTCTCTTATAAATAAGATACATTATTCCTACTTAAGAAGATTCTAAAAGTCATCTATATTTTTTATCAATTATTTTTCAAATAAGTATTTTTTTATTTACTTTCACACATAGATTTAAAAATTATTTTCTACAATTAAAGCATAAATGTAATTCAAACTAGTCGATTTATGCCAAAAATTTATAAAATTATTGTTTTTTATCAGCTTTAGTCAGATTCATATCATTTGCTTTTTGTAAAAGTTTTATACTAAAGCAATCTTGATTAGATTGGACTACAGGGAAATAAATATTGTTGAGTTCTTAAGAATTAAACTTAGATACTTAATATAAAGGATCAATTAGAGAATTTGTACGTATGCGTGCGATATTAATGTAAAAATGTGTAGTGATGTATCAATGACACATAAATCGTATATGTATAGGTCTTACTGAATCAGTAAAACAGATGACTTTAGGATTCCCTTAGTGGCTTAAATAAAATGGCTTATAAAATATATCCTTAAGGCTTTAGCAGAAAGCTGACTTATAATCTTAAGACAGTGTCTTATGACTTAAATCTTATGTCTTTAGTAACGCACAAGAACTATCTTAACTTAAGATAAGATTTATGTCTTAAAGGTATATAAATACCAAGTGCTTTTAAAACATAAATCATAAAATAGTTTTTATATGTTATTTAAAGACATAATACTTAAATCATAATACATTGTCTTAAGATTATAAGTTAACGTTTCTGCTACGGCACTTACCTCGCAAATACAATAGAGTAGTAAGCCTTAAGTCTTAAGAAATTGATCAATCACAATCGAATGTGAGAAGAATAACTGTGATTGGTCAATTCCTTAAGGCTTACGGCTTACTACTCTATTATGTTTGCGGGTTAGCAAGAATTTGACTTTTTATAATTTTCCTGCAACTTTATCTGCGAATAGATTGACAGACTGAGCTTCATCGTTTCACACCTACTTTCGCAAAATTATCTTCTCGAAAGAGGATATAAACGCGCTAAATTCCGTTTATCGAAATTGACTGGCGATGAGGGGGGGCTCTAATTATTTCGAAAAATGTTTTCATCTCTGCATTGACCTTTCGCATTTCCATGGTAAACCGCGATGCTTGATAACGGTGTATTCATATTTTCAATCGACCCGGTTGAGGTATTCACAATTATGCTACACAATAAAGCAAAGTCGAAATTAAAGTTTCCGTCGCACAATTTCGAGGCACAAGTTACGATCAGCATTGTTGTATCACTAGAAAAGGAAGAGACAAAGAAAGAGAAAGATAAATAGATTTATTATTATTATTCAGGACAAGCCCTCTAAGAACATAAACACAAAGGAAAAGTTTAAGAACAAACCTGTACAAATAATTAAAGTAATATAATACAAATAAAATACGAAAATAACTAAACATTGCAAAATTTCCGGAAAAAAATATTTTATATATAATTATATAAAATTATATTATATATATTTTTATATAATTTTATATGATTTTATATAATTATGTATAAAATATTTTTTCCCGGATTAAAGACGAACGCGAATGAGAATGGAAATTAAGAAAAAAAAGAAATAAAAATAAAAAAAAAGAAATTAGTTTGTCTCGTGTCGCTGAAGATGATTGAAGAGTGCTCGTTTAAATGCGCTGAATGTTTTGGATGTTGATGGAAAGCGAGTTCCAATTGTAGTATCAACGTAGTGAAAAGAGTGCTGGTAGGTAAAAGAGAGAGGGAAAAAGAGCGCGGGTGGTACAAAATATTCTGTGTCTTCATACCCGTTGGCGACTGTATGCGCGCAATCAGCCTTTCCATATCGATACTTTATCGCTCTATCGATTTATTGAACGTACATGCTAGACTGAGGTTTGCACTCGGCGTTTTCGCTCCATCGGAATGAAAAACGAGCCTTTTATAAACATTCGACCACGACACATTGGAATCGGCAAATCGGCTCGATTTCAATGTGCCCGCATATGTAAAGTAGAACTTACTCAAGGGAATAAAATGAAGGAACGATCCTACGAAAAAAAAAAGAATAAAAAACGAAAAGAGACCATTATTTCTCTTGTTTGCGTAACGCGTTTCGTAACCGACCAAAGAAAGTTCACGCGACGTAATTATTGCATAATTAATCAAAGTTTCGGAAATTTAATTAGCGACAGAAGACTTCTTTCTCGATCTTATTTTTATGAGTCTGTAAAGCTAACAAGAATAAAATTTTCAATAATGTTTGGTAATATATTCTCGATGTATTTCTAGATAACGTTCCCATTGGCGTTGAAAAGATCAGGGGCATTTGCATTCAATTTTGCGAGGTCCGCTTGGCCATGGAGACGTAGAGAGATGAGGGTTAAATATTTTTATCGTCAATCGATGCGACAAGTCGAATGCGACATGCCGGACTATTATAAAAGCGTGTACGTCGCTCGTCTCCGCCACGCCTTTTGACCCTCCGCTACACATATAATTAGACGACAGGAGAAAAGGATTAATCGAGAGATGTGTACGAGGGCGTTTCCGATTAAATTGCCCCGTCGTTCAACGTCAAAATTACGTTAATTAAATCGTCGGGTACTATCGTCTGGTCAAAGCGACCGTAAAAGTGCGCCTGCCACGCGTGACAGAATTTTTTAATCTTAAATTGAGAAGTCAACGGACCAACAAATTTTTTAATTGAGAAACTTTTGTTCGTTGAACGCAAAAGGTAAAAGGACAATAAAACTTAAGACACAACACCTTTGTGTTTTTTGTCAATAATGTTTTTTTAATTCGAATAAGAAATTACGAATTAAACAATTTTTTAATTAAAATTTTTATATTCCTCTATTCGTTTTAATTGAAAAAATTTTGTGTGTTGAATCTTTCAAGAGAGAAAAAAGAGATAAGACTTTTTAAATACAACTTTATGTTTTTTATCGATGATTTCTGTTTTAAAATTTGCATGAGGAAGATTACAAATTAAACAATTTTCAATTGAAGTGTCAATATCAATTTCTCCATTTATATTTTTATATTAATGGCAAAATATATAATATTTAAATAATTTAGTACAACTAATGGTTTTGTAATAACTTTTTCTCAATTTCAACTGCTTCAAAGATCCACCGACATTTTTGTCACATTTATGGTCGTTTAAATGCCACAAATATTAAACTCAGACTGTCGAGAGATTTTCCGAGAATTTTTCATCATCAAAAGACCCCACTCTTCGAACGTTAAAGCGAAACTTTTTGCCATACACCTCCGCAATCCTGAAAGCTCCAATGTTTCGTTTGTCGATGCAATCGCACCGATATTTTCACAAAGAGATTGCTAGTTGCACTATCAGTTGAAAACGCGATGTCGCTTTATTCTAATTAAAGCCCTTAAGCTCCTAATTAAAAATAATGAATTTTTTCCTCGCCACACAATCTGCCGCTTCGGCAACCTCGCCTCGTTAAAAGCTCAGGTTTTTTTTATATTCTGTCAACGCTACTCCCACTCCACTTCCCTTCATGTGAAATAAAAAAAAGATTGTATCTTTTTGTGTAAAATATTGAAGTAGTCTCACCGTCGATTCGAAAGAAAAGTCGCTGCACTTCACGCAGCTGGCATAAAAAATTCCGTATTTTCACATGTCGTCGTTTTCTTTTATGGGGTCAATAGGAAAATTATATCTCGCTCGTTTCTCTTTCCTTTTATCGAGGAATGGACGCTTGATTTTCCTTTTCGCTCCATCCTATTTCCACGAGAAAATACGACCGCGACGGTCTTGTCGTATCGCCATGCGCTATCTTACGTTCAAGATGTACCACTTGATATACCAATCCCTTTCTCATTCCGCCGCTACAGGATGGTCTCTCCCTTTGCGACACGCGTCTAGTAATAACGATGAAATATCGCTTGCCGATATGCCGCGTTCTATTATAGAATCGTGTCACTATCTACGTCCAGAAATTTCAATACTTTTGTGTTTGTACATTATATAGAAAATAAAAAGAGTAAAACCAAAAAATTTCAAAGATCTTTTGCAGACCCGATACAGTATTGCAATAAATTTTAGAATTTACTACACTATTAAGTCTATAGTGTCAAAAAACTTAACGTGAGTCGCCACTGTTCCTATTCAATCATATCGTTATTTTATATTAAAACAATTAATGGTTATATTTGACACTATACATTGCCAACTTAATACTATATAATGTCAAATTGACACGATATCGTGTCAAATTTAATTATCGTTTTGATAAAAAATAACGATATATTTAGTAGGAGCAGTGGCGACTCACATTAAGTTAAATTTAACATTATAGATTTAACAGTGTACGAAATTACTTATTTTATATATATAGTTTGAACTTTTTATTTATTATCTCATTTTATACTACTTAAATTAATGTAGGTGATTTAAGTAATTTTTATTATAATACATATAACATTCACATATAATTTACTTATTTACTTCAGTATTTCATTATAATTTCTAATATCGAGAGTTTCTTACAAAATCAATTTTCATTCATTCACGTTTTAAAGATATTTCCTAACGAAATATTTATATGGTCTTTTCCCCTTTTAGAACATACAAAGAAATAATGGTTTTGAGAAAATTAAATTTAGTTAGATACAGACTTGAAAATAATTTTGTTAGATCATCAAAATAATTATGTAGGACGTCCAAGCTGATTGCTAGAAATTGCTATTAAAATTTTTTTGCAACGTTGCTCGTTATTCTTGATGATCATACATAATTATTTTAATAGTCCAACAAAATTATTTTTAAAATTGTATCTAGCTAAATTTTTAGATACTTACGCAAAATCATTTTTTTCATGTATGTATATTGCATACTCAATTGAGATTAATTAATTTCTTTATATGTATATATATATATATATATATATAAAATATTAGAAGAATATTAAATATTAAGAGAACTAGCTTTTCCTGGAACCTTCGCTTTTGCCAGCTTAATAAATCGTTTTCGAATTTACGATCAGAAAGGCGATTGTGTATCCTGAAAGAAGTTGAAAATTACAAAAACAAATTCACTAGAATATTTATAGTTTTATTAGTTATTCAACACTTAGGGCCGGTTGTTCCAGTTTCAAATAAACTATATGATAATTTATCTATTGGATAAGTAAAAGACTAAAAGAGTAAAAGAGTAAGAGCATAAAGTAAAAGAGTAGCGAGCTGAAGTTTATCAAAAGGTGGAACAACCCCAGCCTCAGTGAATTTATTTACTTTTGTAAGTTTCATCTCATTTCAAGATACACAAGCGACCCATAGATATCAAGAACTCCCGTTCGGATATGATTGTCTATGCGAGTATTTGCTAGTGGGACACAGGCCCAAGCAGGAGAAAGGGAGGGATAAAGAAAGAGAGGAGAATTCCCCACTCGTATTCTGAATGGAAATTCAACAAGTGTCGGGACGAGGGCTCGAGGGAACAGCCTGAAGCTTCCGTCGTAACTTTCCATCCAGCGGGTGGTTCAGTGGTCGTGCTCGCGTGCGGAAAAGGGGTAAAAGCCAACATGGGAATTAACTGTCGGTTACCGACGTTCAAAGCGATACCACTCGCTTGCACCAGAGAGTCGCAATTTGTCTTAATATTTTTTTTCCTCCCACACCAGTGCAGTATAATTATTACGAAGTGTACTCACGTGCACGTGGGGGGGCCTCTTAAGTTAATTAGGTAAAGATTGCCCGCGCATGAGGAATTCAATTCCCGCGCAGGAGATATATATACTGACACCGTGAACACAAAACATTTTATTCCTTATTTTCTTTTTTTTCTACCTGTTTCTTTAATCTAGAAATAGAAATCTGGGAATACCTGGGATGTTTTTACAACGATTTGCCCAGCGGCAAAAAATGAATTGTTGTAAAATATTGTTTTGTACGAATATTGTTTAGCATATTTTTTTTCTTTTTTAACAGTTATTCTTTACGAACTTATAAATATGCAATTCCATTGAAAATTCACAATTAAAAAGCGATATATTAATTAAAATCTTTATTTTTGAGAAGTACTGTCATAATAAACTGTTTAATGTGCTTGTTTTAAATATTTATTTAATTTCAATTTACTTTTTTCAGAAAATTCTGATTAAATCCATATTTAGAATATTCTCAAATCCTAATAAATCCGGAAACAATCAATAATATATAATATGATTTAACAATAGTGATATTAATTAGAGTGTAAAAACACCCTAGAGGTTTAAAAAAAATTAGATGATTATTAAGAATCACGCTATGTATAGTTGCGATGTGTCTTATTATTTCTTTGATATCAGATAAATGTTAGATATGCAACGTTTAAATTTAGTTTATTCCACAATCTTTTTAACGAAGTTAAAAATTGCGGATCGCGCGACCGCGAGAAGTTTTTCTAATATCCAATTGTGACAAACTTCGTTGTTAAACTTTCAGCTACAATTTTCACTTTTCTCCTCTATGTGTCTGCCCCTAATTGATCGAGATTCAGCCAAGCGAGACGGTCGGCTGACCCAACGAGCTAAGGTCAGAATTTTGTGCAGGACGCGATTTCACGGTTGTTGGCCTCCTTTGTGGCGGATGATGTTCGGAGACGACCTTCGTACGGATCGATTTAATTTACCTGAAGTCCTCCAGGCGTGCCTGGAAGGCCTCCTTGCTCACCACGTCGTATGCTTGCGTCTTGCTTTCGTCCCTGGGTACAGATACCAACGGCCACGTGCTCATGTTATGGAGATCCTGGTCGGTTATGGCGAATCTCTGCGTCAGGTTCGACCTAGTTGTCGAGCATAGGGTAAAGTGAATTAGGGAGGAAGATGTAATTCTCATTGGGACGAAGTTTCCTAAGCGTATCAAGCGAAGTGACCGTACGTTGAGAGCACGTAAAAATAACATATTGCAGAAAATCACGTATATTATTATATTATTAAGTAATTAAAGGAGTATGTTATATTGTTATTAATTACGAGGAGAAAAATAAAACAATTTTAAACTATTAATTGTAACAATTAATTAATTACCTTGGCCATAAGTATGTAATCCTCGATTTATTGTATTTTCTTGGAAAAGGCAATAATAAAAACAAGGGACTAACAAAATAAAATTGTTAATAAAAATAAATATCATTTTTTAATGAACTGTTTTTTAATTTATTTTTTGTTAGATATAGAACGTTTACGTCAATTTGTGAGAGTGCTTTATACTCTTATAGCCAAGATTATTTTATAAAATGAATCATCTTTGTTCTTTATATACGTTAAAACTAATGTACGAATTATATTAATTAAGTATTTTTTATTCGCATTTCTAAAACATATATTTCTAAAAATTTTGATCGTCTTTTTGGATGAACTTGCGCAAAAAGTGCTGACAGTTTAAAAGCCCTGCAGAAAAAAATTTGCCAGAAGATCGGAATATATGTTACGAAAATATTCCAAATCAAACAAAATCAAACAGCGCATCGAGCAGTATTATTTTTAGTCAATTCACAGAGCTTTTCGAACGATTGTCACGACTATTTCAGTATTCCGCGAAGCGTTTGTTTTTGCAGAAACGTGTCGCATTCTCTCGTCTTGTCTCGATTGCGAAACTCGAGAAAACCATTCATTCTCATCACGCGAAATGCAATGGAAAGCATTTCCTCGCACTCTTGTTCGAGGAAGAGATTTCGCATTTCGTCGCTGTGGCACGATCACGTGGTCGGATCAATGAGACTTGTGAACGTTCCATTCGATAATTACACGAGGCGTATCAGAAATGCGAAAATAAACGAACTGAAAAGGGAATTAAATTGTATTATTATCTAATCAAACGTGACAGAAAACAAATCAGAGTTATCGTATCTTGTTTTCAACAAAAATACAAATTTCATCTATCGATAAAAACTGGAAAAATAACTAGTACCTCAATGTGTTGCCGTTGGTATAAATGAAAAAAGCCACTTCGGATCTCTCCAGCTGCATCCTGGTGACCATTTTGCCCAGATCCGTTGCTATCGTCACCTGCAATTATCATTGAATATGTATCGAAAATGTAAAAAATAGTGCATCTATCATTATAGAAACCCTAATTTTTACGAAGAAGTACACTTTGGGAATTCTTTTTAATCCTCTGTAGGAACAAATGTTGCATATTTGCAACGTTCATTTTTAAATTAAATTTGGGATAAATTCAAGGTAAATTTGGGATTTGTGCAGATTAGTTATACTTAAAACTGAAGATGGAAATGTAGCATTGAACACTGAATATAGTACCAAAAGCTAAAAAGCCTAGACATTGATATATTCTTCACTTAAAAGATATTTTTGAGCAAAATCAGTAAAAAAATGTTTTTTCTTTTATAATGAGACGATGCCGTCTTTAAAAACTTAACTTCGTTCTAATATTTCAAAAAGTATTTTCTAAGTCTGGCTGATCCAATACTTCTTGCGTTGGATACTTCTATAGGAAGGAGATAGTCGTCTTCATCGAGATAATGATCCGACGTTTGTTCTCGCGGAACTTCCGTTAGAACAGAGTTAATTGTAAGACACGAAAGGACCAAGTGGAGGGTCTCGAGTTTCGAGAGACCGAGTATTTCCAGAACATATATTCAATTGCCACTTCAAGTCCCGAAAGTGCCTGGAAAGTGTCACTATCACTTTTGGGACTTGCAATCATTTCATTTCAACTGAAGCACACATGAAACTTTTTCTCGCTACTCATGGATTCGAAAAACAGATCATCCTACAGTCTCATTTCTTGTTTTGTGTCATATTGGAATATCCATCAATGGATATTCTGTTACATGGAGATTCGTTGGAGAAATCTTCATCTTTAATAATCCTCGATTCTAAATCATTAGATTTCTGAGCAGATTTTTTTTTTTCGATTGAGCAGAAACTTGAGTGTCATAAATCTGCTCATGAGGATCTGTTACAAATTTCCACCTGTTAACCGCGTTATATTAAAGAATCTCATTAGTCTAAGCTCGAGCCTATGTTTTCATTTCAATCTCACGACTCACGGCGACGAGCGATATTGTATTAACGCCGGTGATAAAATCGTTTTACGATCCGAGATAATTATTAGCGTGGTTGCAAATTGCACAGCAATCGCAATTAAATATCCCACCGTTGACGTTCCACCATCGATCTTTCCTATCCCTCTGGAACGAAAACTTTCGCCAGAGAAATAAGGATTCTATCTCATCAAGTGAGGATCTTTCGTCGAAGACCTAGCACCTCCGTAAGCTCACTAACTATAACAGAAAGTTCTTTGCCAACTTGCTCTTTGTCAATAAAGCGCTCGTATACCACAGAATAATCCGCGGCTCTGCTAGCGTGCCATGAACTTTTTAAGCCAGATGAGCCTGGCATCCCGGCTCCTCAAGCCGGGTCAGAGGTCGTCCTGCTTATCCTCATTGCTCCGACGAAGTCTCAGCAAAGTTGCTGTAAGGATCAGACTAAAGCCAGAACGAACGTACACTCGTACGCTGATTTTAATAATCGCTGCATCCGACTTAAAACTCACAATTTTTATTGCAGTATTTATATATGAATTCTTAAAAATTCTTGTAACCATTTCTGCTTTTTTAAGTCTTCTCGATCTCATTTATTCTTAAACGATCGCTTTCTTTTCAATGACTTTCTTTTTTTTTTTTTTTTAATACTCTTTCCATTACTTATAACTTTTTTATCGATAAAGATACATATATCTTAGTACTGTTATAGATATTCCTTAATGTCTGATGTTTCGATTAAAGAACTTTTTTTTTTATAATATATATTTATTTTTAGAAAAGTTATAAGCGATCGATTTGGATGGGTATATCACTGCAGTGTATCGTTCCCATAATATGGCGTTTTAAATAATATAAATGTAACAGTTCTTTTTGGAAAAAAATTTTATCGCGACAGATATCCTTTTTATAAAATTACATATCTTCTTTTCAATTTTCTTTTCAGTTTTCATTTAAATTTCTTAGTTTTACAAAAAAGTATCTGATTCAACAAAAGTCTCGATGTTTCTTTTCCATAATTTTCTGGTGCCCTAGATTATTCCTGTCATTCCGAACTGCAGCCTCCGGCATCAGATTTTCATTCTCTATAATGTATTCATTCTGTTATCAAATTCGTTCTGTTATCATTTAACTTGTCATCACACAGATATACAGAATGATTGATAAAAAATAATTTGTAATGTTAAATTCTCATTATTAATTTAAATAATATTCGTTGCGACAAAATTTTATGTTACGAAAATTAATAAATCTGTAGTGTTACAAAAATTAAAAAAATATTATGCCCAGGAATCTTTTTAAATCTGGTTCGAGCTAAAAGAGAAGAATTCCCAATGCTTCTTATACAGTGTAGAATTATAGGGGTGTGTGTCGCAAAGAGCGAGGTGCATCGATGAGTATGCGAAACGCTCATCGGTTATATACAGAACGTGAGTACGATCGCAAACATACGTATACCCAACATCACCGACAATGGCGACCATTCTTGCGACGTTTGTCAAACAAACTCGAGATCGAAGACCGTTGTTCCCGCAGCCAACATTGCGATGAATTTCGATTTGATCGACCTTTCGCTCCCAGGAGAGTCGTGTCTAATATCCTTGTGGACAAGGCGATTAGACAGAGAGCAGTGGAAATTTTCTCTCCATGAAGGAAAAGCGTCACGAATAATTTACAATTAAGACAATGGCCCACGTATTATGGTTGATCAAAATTTACTTGCTGCTTAATATACTCTTTTAATGAAATTAAAATTGACATAAATTTAAGAAAGTGAGCGTGAAATTATTTGGTATTTTAAACTCAATTAGCGTACATACGTTACGATTTTATATTTATGAGCCATAGATATGCAAAGTTTTTCACAGACGAAATTTATTTTGTTTTGAAAAATCTAATAAATTTAATGAGAAATTTAATTTTAATATTTTAAATGTAATAAACCTGGCCGTAAATGACAATTGAAATATATTCGTAAGAATAATAAAATATTATATAAAGAATTTTTCGAATCACAATATTTCTATTTTATTAAGAATAAAATAAAGTATCATTTTTCAGTTTTGCTTATCAAAGAAAATTTTATAAATTTAAAATTTTCTATTCTCAGTTGTGTTTTCCCTGCGATGGCCGACTAAACATCAGTTACGTCATTGTCCCCCCCATCTCGCTCTCTTCTTATTTTATTTCATCATCCCTTGCAAGCGCATCTCGCCTCGAAGTAGTAAAAGGGCGACGATGGCGGCATGTATATGCGAGTCGATAATCCGAACGTGCGTGAGAGAATAAAATAAAAATAGCCAGCTCGTCGCGCGAGAATGGCTGTAACGTAATTTCTTGTGCCATGCCGGACACCGTCGCTCGAATCGGAAATCGAATCGAATGCGATTTCCAACGAGTGTCCGACGTTTTCATTAACAACAGCCCCTAGCCCTGCGGACTCCTCACTCCACAGAGAGGAAGAGCGAAATCGTTCGTCACTGTAGCCATCCGTGACTCTATGAGAACTGATAAACGACGAACCGATACTCTATCACTTGATCACGAAATTGCGACCGCATGCAGCGATCAAAGCTCGTGCAAGCTTGCGTTTCGATCTCACAAAGCGAACGAGCAGAGTCGCTTATTTTCTTTCTCGTTGTAAATTACGTTAAATTTTAGCATGCTTTTAGCAGGGCACATTACTGAAATTCTTCCTCGTTACTTTTGCACATCATTACTGCATCCTTATGATTATAACGTAACAATAAATTTTTCTTTTTAGATCTTTCTTTAGAGTTGAGAAAGGAATTTGAAAATGAGACTGACTTATTCTTGTTGGTTCTAATTAATTAATTAATTTTATGTTCTTATATTAGTTTTTATATTATATCATAAAATCAATCAGTCAATATTATTATCGGGTTCTTGATTATAACGTGACAACAAATTTCTCCTTTTAGATCTTTTCTCAGAGTTAATTGAAAAAGGGATTTGAAAATGAGACTTATTGTTGTTGACTCTTTCTCTCTCTCGAACTAATTAATTTCATGTTCTTATAAAGGATCGTAAAATTAGTCATATATCTTCTTTTTACTTCTTTAAATTAAAGTAAAGAAGGCATTGTAGTCGTGAGACTTGTACTTCAAGCAGAAACGCCTCGATTATGTCGCGATGCTATTCGCAGACATTGAAGCGCGTAGGTGCGGTGTATTTGTTCATTCTCTCGTTACCCTCAAACGAACCGTCGCTGTCGATCGATCACCAGTGAATTATACCAGCCCAGCCTAATTGCACTCTTTACATAATTATCAAGGCGCAACGTGAGCGGACGCGAGAGCACGTGGAACTTTTCGCCCGTTACTTCAGACAATGCTGAACTAGCAATTTGTAAAACTGGAGTTTCCGCGAAACTCACATAGAATATATATGAGAGAGATGCTGCAGAACTGTTTCTAAATTGCTTTAATATATGGACTCTTCGAGGAACTTCAGAGCCGACATTTTGCTGCAGATAACGGAATCAATTCATATAAATGTAAACTATACTTCTCGTTAAAGTTAGGAACACAAATTTTCTATAAAAAGCAAAGAGAGGATACACCATCGATCTTGTGATTTCAGTATCAAAACGTAAAGGTGATTGATACTAAAAGTACCAACGTTTGTTACTCACTAAAAGGACCAAGCAAATAAATTGAAAAAGAAAATGAGACGTTTCATCAATATAAAAGACGTAATTATAAGAAAGTCAAGAAATTTCAGAATCTTATAGTCTTGACCATAAATAAAATACTCTCGCAAATTGAGACGCAAACATTCTATATCTAATAAAAAATAAATTAAGAAATAATTTTATTGCAAAATAATATTATTTTTTAACAATTATAATATTCTGTTAATTTTCCTTTTATATCATACTGAAAAAAATGTCTAGTTGCATTAACTGGAATTCTGTTTAAATATGGACGAATTTTTTAGTTAAATCTACCAAAATTCTCTGATTGATATGATCAGAATTTTCTGGTTTGTCTATTTTCAAACCAGATATTTTTCTCTGATTGATATGATTAGAATTTTCTGGTTTGTCCATTTTCAAACCAGATATTTTTCTCAATGCATCTTTTTCAAAAAAATGTAATAAATTGAGGGTATTTCATACTTATGGTCAAGGCTATTATATCTTTATACAAAAAATATAATATTAATCTAAGAAATGGTCACTAACGGAGATCTCTCGATATTTCTCGTTTTAATTAGCAATTCTCGAAGGGCAACTTGATTCGCTCACCTGCGTCTCTATGTCGGACACCTCCTGACGGTAGATCAGGATGTCGTGAAGGGTATTCGCGGTCTGCACGATCAGAGCGAGGATCGGTATGAAAGGTAGCACCAGCATTTGCAGCAGCTGGATTCGTCGACCGCGACGATGGGCCGGATCAGTCGCGCGGGCCCAACACGACTTCTTCCGGTTCGCTTTGGTCCCCGAAACATCGTCCGACGAAAGGCTCCTCACGGAACTCACTTCCGCCACGCAGGAGCCGTTGCGCGGCGACATACTGAAAGGATCGCCGTGGAAAATAAATTATCAGTTGCCGAATGATTTTTTTTGAATTGGAAAATCATCCTCGGAGGCAAATATGTACAGTTAATATGTTTCATGCGCACGTGAAGAATTTCAGAAATTAATATTTAAAATCAAGCATAGTCACAAGCACAATTATAATATAGAAAAAGATAAGGAATCTAGAAACTTGTTTCAAAATGCATACGAGATTCAAAGCAGAAAATTAAAATGGGTTTTAATCAAGAGGTTCTCTGAAGTTTTTAAAATCCGATAATCTTTAAGAATGTTTAGGACTTTTGGAATAAAAGGGTTCAACATAGTTTGAGATTTCAGAATAAAAGTCAGAATAAAAACCGTAGGTTTATAAGTTGACAAGTTCAAAGACACATACAACTAGTGTAACAATTCAAGGATCGAAAGATATAATTCAATGGTTCGTAAAAGCCCAGAGAGATGAAACGATTTAACAATTAATTTAGATGCGTCAGTGTAATCGTTGTGTAATTGGAATTCAGAAGCCATAGGGAATTCGATTAAAAATCCATTATCAGGTCGATTGTGCATCACGGAATTGCTCGATGGAACTGTTCAACGAGAGACGAGCTTTTATTTCCGACTCGTCGGTGATACGTCGTCCTGCACGTTCGAACTTTCGCGATCGCGATAATAATGACAAGCTGGCGGATAACGAGTTGGCCGGCGGGTCTTCGTAATTAAACGCGACACGAGAACAGAAAAGCGTCATAGTCGACTCATAGTCGTGAGAAAAAAAGGGAGTTCCCTTTCTCGTTCAAAGCTTCGCAATTGCGAACTTGGGGATGCAATTCGAACTCGATAACAGAAAGCACCATGTAAATATCCACGTAATTCCCTTTTCCATTTTCTCTTTTTTTTTAACAACTAGAACGTTATGTTCTCTCTTTGTTCTTGCATCCTATTTTTCTACGTTATCGAATTCTCAAGAGGAATAAAACAAGTACAGCAATATCTAGCATCGGTGTCGATGTTCACGTCTGTTGGAAATCACAAGAGATAAGGATCTCCCACTTATGAAAAATCAGGTCACGTTTTAGTGGTCTGATTTTTAATAAGCATCTCAAATTGAATAATCAAAGTCCTTTGGAACAACGAGCGAAAAAAGATTTGCTTTATTCACATGAAACTTCATTTCCAATTATGTTTCGATAAAACTTCTCAACGGGCGAGTTAAGAGCTGCGCGTTGAAGTAGATCAATTTCATTGCCATGAGTATTCCACTGTTAAATCGAAATGCCCTCGTTCTCTCGTAATCGTAACGCAGTGGGAACTGGAATTCCCACAGCGAGGAAAGTTCCCAGAGGTAAAATAAAGGGACTTGCATTCGCGTTGCGTTCCATTTCATTCCTCATCTCGTTATCTATAGAATTCATAGTATAGTTCTATATAGAATTCATAGTAGACAGAGGAAGATGGAAAGAGGGCGAAAGGGGGAGGAGAAAAGGGTTAAGCGATCGCAACGAGTGAGTCTGACTTCGTTGCGGCTCTTTGATGATCTTGAAGATGGCAAAGTCAAAAGCCTCTATCAGGAACGACACTGTCTCTCTGAATAGCGTCTGATTTTGTACACGCGCCTACATATTAAGGAGAAATTAATGGTCCACTGATATACTTTTCTTCTCGTCAACGTAAGGAAACGAGAGGAAACCGCCATCGCTGTAAAATACGAAATAGGCGTGCCGCGCTATTAATATCACATCGAGGCGAAAAAGAGAGATTGTCGTCTAATGTGCCCTGGAAATAAGTAATCAATAAATCATAAATCAATAAATCTCTTTACGATTGGTATAGCTTTTTAATGACTCCCACATCATTCCGGTTTTTAAATGAAAAAATAATGGCTTCATGATTTAATCATTCATTTATCCGTTTCTTCGAATTTTTAGATTTTTAGAGAAGTTTTTTAAGAAGTAAAATTTAGAAGAGACATTTTCTACCCATGTGAATCTTTCATACCCATGTTACTTTTATTTTTTAAATGTTTGAATATTTACGGTTTAGGATGCTCGATCGATTTTTCGCCTTTTCAAGATGGAATGCAATACATCTTAAGATCCTTTGAGAATCTAAGTTTAGGCCAAAGGGCTGTGATGCGTTACATACAATGTGCATCTCCGTACTATCCTTCGCCTTCGTGCATAGTAACAATGTAACACGGTAATAAACTGCACTACACAACGTTGTTGATACATAATGTAATGGCGTATTGCCGTTGCTTGCCTTGCTGCTAAGGACAAGAGAGGGGCGGCCACCCCCCAGGCAGTTAATTGCAACAGCGCGCCTCCTCTATCCCTTTCTCTCTCTCTCTCTCTCTCTCTCTCTCTCTCTTTCTTTCTTTCTTTCTGTCTCTGTACGTTACATTACGTTATCGAGAATGCCAACTTTGTTTTGAGATTGAGCTTCCATTTATTCTGAACTAAATTGATCTTGCATTTGAATTCTCTTCTAAATAAATTATATTTTGTTCAAACATTTGTGGAAATAATATTAAATTAAAATAAAGCATTTCCTGAATCAAGCAAATAGCAGTTTATCATATACCTTTTTCAATTAATAAGAGTTTATGGAACTAACGAAGTGATATCCGCAAAACTTTAGAAACTATTAAGTCACATTGACGTTACACTTCACGATACGTTTAAGGGTGTTGAACACACGTGTGAGTAAACTGTCGGTGTTGGACTATTGTGTTGTCTATTGTGAACATAGAGCTCAATTCCAAAGTAGATGTGTTCTTGAGTTCCGCTTCGATCAATCTTGGAAGCATCCCTGATGATGCTAAGGATCGCACTATAACACGATTGTACGAACTAACGATCGAGAAACCGAAAATCCAAGGGAAGAATCGTGAAGAAGGATTGAAATGCTGGCGAATCGAGATAAGAACTGGAGGATCTCTTCGCAAGATTTTTATCCTCATTTTCTAAAATATACTTTCACGAATCTCCATTTTTTCGGAAATTTTGATGTTTAAAACTTCTGATTTTATATATTTATTTTGTTCGATCAATCGAATAAACTTTAAATTAATTGGATGTGAGTTCATATGTTCAAGATATTGTCTTCCTCTTCCTCTCTCTCTCTCTCTCTCTCTCTCTCTCTCTCTCTCTCTCTCTCTCTCTCTCTCTATCTATCTATCTATCTATCTGTGTACGAGCAACAATCTGGGGCGAACGTCACATGATCGATGGGAATTAAATTTGATGCTAAAGAGAATGTAATGGAGGAATGCGGATGCGATTACAAAGCGTACTCCTGATAATTTCATTGGCTCTTTTGAATATGCATTCTCATTGCATACCTCTAAGTTAATGAAAACGACCATTTGTATAGAACACACATTTAAAATTAAAGGTTAATTATTAAACAATGTAATTGGCACAAAGCAATAAAATTGAATAAAATCGAAATAAATGCATGACACATACATTAATTAATATTGTTGCAGTCGACATAAAATCCAAAAACATACACGGGAAATATAATAAAAAGGAAATATAACATACAATCTGAATGATACTTTAAATAAGCGCGAACATTTACGCAAATTTTCCCTAGAAGTAATAGAATAAAAACATACATATAACATACAGAATACATTCCATTTATTTTAACATATAAAATACATTTCATTTATTTAACTATTAATAAATAATACCTACAGAGGCTAAACTATTTTGTGATAAAATGAAACAAATTTGTAATAAAATGAAACAAATAAAATAATAAGTAGTCAAAAGAAGGGCAAAGAGCTAGTAATGTAGTAAAGAACTTTAATTTAAATCATAAAATTCGTATAACAATTGATAAAAACAAACGTTTCGACTCCGCTCGAGTCATTTTCAATGTTTTTGTAATATTTAAACATCGCTATAAACCAACAATATACATGGTATTGCAAAACTCATTATAATTTATAATCCTGTATTCTTCACTCGCAGCGTACTACACGAAATGAAGAGTACGGGATTATAAATTATAATGAGTTTTGCAATACCATGTATATTGTTGGTTTATAGCGATGTTTAAATATTACGAAAACATTGAAAATGATTCGAGCGGAATCGAAACGTTTGTTTTTGTCAATTATAATTATTATACGAATTTTATGATTTAATTTAAATTAAAGTTCTTTGCTACTGGCTCTTTGTCCCTTTTTTGACTACATTGTTTTTACAGAGCCTTATTATTATTTATTAATAAAATGATAAGTTGCATGCTTCGGTATATTATAAAAAATATATATGTTATAAAAAATTACAAAAATTAATTAATCAGTTAGTTTTTGAGAAGCTCAAATAATATTTCATTAGTGTATAATTGATTAATCTTTGTACAACTTGTACCTTTTTGATATAAATTGGCACACTCGAATTTTCGCCAATGCTTTTTCCATTGCTTATAACTTTTTTTATTAGTGAAGATGCATACATTTGCTTACTGTTATTTTCGATTGAAAAAAAAATTTTATATAAAAACATTTGATATAAAAATATGTTCTTTTTTACGAAAGTTATAAACAATTGAATTGGATCGGATATGCCATACATGCCAGTGTGTTGTTTCCGTAATGAAACATTTAAGAATCAATATCCATTTCTACCTATGTAAATTAATTTTAATCTTAGAACTTGAAAAAAGTAAATTAATTAAGATTAAAATTATTCTACATTTGAAAGAAAATTACTCTACATAGAAATGAAGTCACGTTAAACTTTAATTCGATATTCTTCTACGAAATTTAAAATAATTTTTTTATTCATGATCGCAAGATTTAGCAAACAATATATGGTGGTTATTAACGCCGTATTCAACAATTTCCCTTCACATGCGGGATCTATCACAATGACATGATTCGCGATCAGCGAAGTTGCCAGATAAATTGCAAATAAGCATAAAATCACTGTAAAGCTGCTCAGAAGCAGCTTTTCCATAACGAGCTTTTGATATCGAGTCGGCTAAAGATATTAGAAAACTGAAACACTCCCCCGCGCTGTAAAGCGCACTTGTCTGATAACAGCAGCAATCCTCGTGCCTGTTTGTTGCCAAAGCGAGAAAGGCGGATGCCCTCATGAGTAGAGAGGATTAATTAAGCCTTTCTGTGCGCGGAAGTATTCGCAAACTGGTTTTATTGGAAACCAACACTACGGAAATTGATTATCCTGCGTTGACGTTATTATTGCTGCTTACTCTACATACGGGGAGGGATGGAGGGTTGAAATCGCGATCCGTACTTGTGTACAACGGATGTTTAAAGCGTCCAGATTACAGATTATCCTGATTACGATTATGGAACGACGAAGCTGAAGCTCGCGCGAGGCTCGCTGCGAGCGAGCGTGTAGCTTAAAGCTATTTGCGATACAAAGCGATGTAGTGAAAAACTGTGACACGTATGCGCTGGCTTTCATCTATGAGCCCTTTGAGGCAATTTGGAATCGATTTCTCTCCAACGAAAATGTCGAGGGGATCGCTCACAATAAAAAGTTTTTTAATTTTCCATATTAAATACCTATGATCGATTCTCAAATTATATATCTATCGAAACGAAGCTTCATTCGATAGAGGAACCAAAGGAAAGATGAAGTTTCGTTATATTTGAGACTCACGTCTTGAGAAATTTTTTATAACACACGGAAATCTATGGCGAGCACGACCCCTTCAAAGACTCTGTCGAGAAAAAAATTCGATAAAACTAACTGAATATTGCATTCTGCACAATTGCAGTTTAAAAGCGCATACTGCGTGTGATGTATCTGTATATATGTGCGTGCGTGTGTGGAGAAGATAAGAGATAACGCGTCTATCTCGCCAAGTTACAATCAAAGACATAAGAGCATGGACTGCACCATCCATATCGAAATAGTATATCATGTAATCAACAAAAACGAGAGAGGTGAAGATGACAAATCTCTTTCTCTTTCCAAGATACTGTGATTGGTTGAATAGAAAGATATAGAAACTGGCCATCTTCCTGTTTCTCTCTCATTTTTGTCGACAATTTTACACACGGATGATGTTTTATGTCTTTGATTACGACATGCATGACGCAGTTTCTCAGATACCCTCGAAGTCACATACTCACTCTATGCAGCGAATCAACGTGCAACCATTAGCAAGCCCGAGGAAGCCTTGAATCCGCCAGGAAGCAGCAGCGAAGCCAATCGGCTTGGCAATCGAAATGATGGGTCGGCATCGCGGACGCGAAAGCGATCTGGAAAAGCGGGATGCGGTCGGACGAACGACAGATCCTTCTCTTTTCTCTTCCACGATTAGTCTCGAGATCGTGATGCAATTCTTTTTTTTTTCTTTATTGAATTCTACTGTATACGAACACGCAAGATCTCATTATCAGAATTGATGTTTAATTGCGACAGAGAACAGAAGCTTATCGCGACACACAAATTAAAAGGCCAAAGTGTCAATTGAATTCTCCAATTGCTGGCGGAAGCCTTATCGACAACAACGTCAACTGAGGTCGACCCGTTTTCTCGTGTGTCACCCTCGTGCAATCAGTCGAGGACACGTCGCGCTTCTGGCCGAGCATCGGGCCGAACGTAACGCGACTTTCACCGTTCGCCAACAATGAAAGGGTGTCCGATCGCTCATCCCCCGCAGTCCCCGCTTCCCCCCGCAGAAGAACGACCGTATTAACGCTTCCGAAAAGCGGTGTGTACTCACTCGTTCTGTATGGTGAGCATGACTGCAGATCGCAGCGGCGATGTCCGCCCTCGCCTCTCGTTCCTCGATCTCTCTCTCGCGATTCGATCCCGAATTGGTTGCTGGAATCGGGGTCTGAATGGCACGGGCACAGCCTCGCGAGCCTATTATCTCATAGAGGAGCCGGCAGTCGCTGCTCGCCCTGTCCATTCAGCCGCGACATAAAGGTGCGAGCGCTTGGTAGGGGACCATCATAAAAACCTCTCTCAATGGGTGGTAAAAACTACAAAATTAATGCGACGACGGTCTGCAATCGTCGGTTACGAGCCTCGACGACGATCAAAGTGGCCACTTTCGACCGGGTGCCACTTTCGCGCGGCGGGTCGCAGAGTCGATGTCTGAACGGGAAATGCCTTCTGTGATGCGCCCGTCGCCAATCCGTGTCATTATGTCTCACAAAGAAGCTTTTTCCGAAAATAAAGCATCAAGGTGTTTCGAGAATAAAATCTACATCTTTAAAGCTTCTCCATTTCTTTATAATTCTAACGCCTGACTTTTTGACAAAGAACAAAAATTATTCGTCAACCTAGACTTTTGCGACATGATTTTCTTATTTATTTGTATCTCATTTTGATTATTATATTTTGATTAATATCGTTCAATTTATGTCATGATTCCGTATGCAGAGATTATTTTATATGTATCATAATTGGCGATTTAAATTATGTCGAGCTTTCTTGAAATTATTTACCGATAAAGTTAATAACACCTGCGTCCTAGATATCTTTTCACGATTTTAATAACAGATTTTTAGACGTGAAAAATATTATTTTAAATTATAATAAAAACAACACTTTTAATTTTATTAGTTTAACATTCGAAAACTTTTGCTAATTTAGAATAAATCGTTTCGTCGAGAATTTTTGTGGTAAATCCTTGTTTTCATATTGCAACTTTGAAATATCTAACGTAAAATAAAAAAATTTTCCAATTAAAGTTGTAAAGAGCGCACTTATTAAAAATAACACATCGTTATTAAAAAAAAATATCGCAGAAAAGTATTTGTGCTAATACGAGGGCTCGCCTGTAAGTTGTTGTCGAGTGTTGTATCTAAGTGGCTTTTAAATCTAATGTCGTGGTAGAGAGTCAGTGAGGCTTGAAAGCAGAATCCTATTTAAGGCATTTCCGGTGCACAAAAATATCTTCAACTGAGAAGGAACAGTAAAAATTCCAAATGATTAAGAATTTAAGAAACATGCTCTTATAAAGAATAATACGAGAAGAATTTGCTGTAAATATTTGGATTACTTATAGAATAGTAATAACATACATATTGAAATATTTATTCACAAATTAATCAGAGAAAGAGAGAAATATATATTTTAAACAATTGTTTTTATGCAGTTTACTTTGAAAATTAAACGATAACATTTTTATTTTTACATATACACCATTAAAATGAATATGATTTAGATTGCTTTATGCGCATCATGGAACAAATATATAAAAAGCAATTAAACTTAATACTTTATCCATCCGGTATGCTAGCAGTAACCTTTTAGCGAATGTTATACGTACACGTGGTAGAAATTCAGTGATGCATATCAATTAATTAATTGCTGGATGAATTGGTCCATTGACAATATCGTTGCCTGTGTTAGGGTTTAATTAGTGATTGGATTCACAGGTTTGGGATTTTCGATATATGGTGACACAATTTAACGAACAATCGAAATCCAATCGATAGCAACGGAAAAAAGCAAATTGTATTAATTACGTTTGATAAATTAATGTTTCGCTACTCTTAACTGAAAAAACGTATTTAGAACAACCATTATTTAACAATCTTAATTAAATCGGATTATATAAAACTGATATAGTGTGTAAACTGTATAAATTCCATTAATCTAAGAAGACATTTTAATTTCAGAAAAGATCGAAGAGAATTTTTTCGTTTCAACGGAATTGGCATGTCTGCATCAAGACTTCTGATGTAGCATAATTAATCATCGCGTGATTTAAAGATACAGGAGGAAATCTCTATGTATCGAGGGACATATTATAGGTTTTCCATTTACGCCCACGTCACCAAATGACGTTGGTTGTTCCAGTTTCGAAGTATTGATACACGTCGATAAAATTATGTCGAGCGGCTGAGATTTTTTCCTCGAGTTTCACGCGAAGAACATCCATAAAATCATGTCGTGCCGAGCTTTCGGAGGGGAAATGACGAAACTTTTATAAGCGCTTCGAACTCTTATTCGAACGATCGGGAATACAAATATTGTGCATGACTAAGCGCGTCCTGTATCCTATTTTCTCAAGGAGTATGCATCAAACTCGATTGATGTCAAGCATGTTATTCATTCAATTTAAAAATTATGAATTGAGATGAAACTCAACACATTCTGTTTAAGATGTAGTGGAGATCAAATGAATATCTATCTGAACTCAGGAAAGATTTTCTTGTACAATATAATCTCTTCTTCTTACACGCAAAGTCTATCAGGTGAGATATGCTATTAATCGAACGATCTTCACATTTACCGATAAAATCTTCCTCGGCAGAAATCAACGTCTTTGAATATCAAGTTTCAACAATATCTCGATAACTAAGATTGAAAAGATTTCGTTACTTAAAAAAAAAGACAACGTTACTTTAAACGAAAAGTATCGATCTGCCAAGTTTCGATAAATATTTCGGCAACCAAGATTTTAAAAAATTCCTCTAAAGACAACATTATTTTAAACAAAGAGTATCTAATGTCTTTGTGTTGTTTTGAATATCTTTCATAAGGAAAAATCGAGAAATTCGCGCTTGACGTTTGCAGTCCTGGTGATATCTATCATGTTAATCCTGTAGTTTCTCCCTGTCGACAATCAGATGCAGAAGGACAAATGCTTCCGGCACGTCCGCGCAACTTGTTGATATTCACGCCTCTACGTTGAGTTTATCGATAGCTGCGGCCTATAGTTCGCGGACTATCGAATGGTTCTGACGTTATCACTTCCGCTCCGCCAGCCTCTGCAGACTCCGGCCGCGCGCCACGCAAATGATAACGACGTCATAATATCGATAACGAAAATAACGGCAAGGCCACCCGCTACGAGACGAGAATCGGCGAAGCGTGCATCGTCGGGAGAAAGGAGGATTTGCTGGCGGCTAATTAATGATTAAACAGAATTTAATAGGATTAATAAAAGGACGTTTGTTTCCTCAAACAACATGTCTCAGAAGCGACGCAGTGATCGTTTTTCCTTAATTTCTCGATAAACGACCGCTATTTTGCATGTTGCATTTTATTAAAAGTCCATTAAAATACTCTTTTAATTTATACAGTTAATTTACACAATATAATTAAGCTAATGAAATCTTGTTACAGCAAGCTAGCTCTATTTATAAAACTAATTATCGTATGTTTAATTATGTAAAGGTACTATTAACATAACAGTTTAATTTATAAAATAATACAATATAATGCAAAAATAAAGATGTACATTTTATCAAAAATTAATGTAATTTGTGAAAGAATTCTATATGATAATTGCAACGTGCGGGTTAAATAGAATACAGTAGCGAAGCGAGTAGCGAAGTGTGCCATTTTCTCGTTAATTAAACTGGAATTCCTGGATCACAACTATGTGGATGTGATCTGATCCGTGCAACTCAGACATGTCCAACTCACGGCCTTCCTATCTAATGTTC